TGAGGAATCTCCGCCATGGTTTTGGGCAAGATGAAGGAGGTTGCGGAGAGCTACCTCGGCGAGTCTGTCAAGAACGCTGTTGTCACTGTTCCCGCCTACTTCAACGACGCTCAGCGCGCTGCCACCAAGGACGCCGGAACTATCGCTGGTCTCAATGTTCTCCGTGTTGTGAACGAGCCCACCGCTGCCGCTTTGGCCTACGGTCTCGACAAGGTAAGATGACAGTCTGTCTGCAATATTTCCGAGCCTGGACTAACAAACTCCATAGACCGACCAGAAGGAACGCCAGGTTCTCGTCTACGATCTCGGTGGTGGTACTTTCGATGTCTCCATTCTCACCATTGAGGAGGGTGTTTTCGAGGTTCAGTCTACCGCTGGTGATACTCATCTCGGTGGTGAGGATTTCGACAACCGTGTCATCAACTACTTCGCCAAGAAGTACAACAAGGAGAACGACGTCGACATCACCAAGGACGCTAAGACCATGGGTAAGCTGAAGCGCGAGGTTGAGAAGGCCAAGCGCACGCTCTCTTCCCAGAAGACCACCAAGATCGAAATCGAATCCTTCCACAAGGGCAAGGACTTCTCCGAGACTCTCACTCGCGCCAAGTTCGAGGAGCTCAACAACGACCTGTTCAAGAAGACGCTCAAGCCCGTTGAGCAGGTTCTCAAGGACGCCAAGATGAAGAAGAGCGACATCGATGATATCGTTCTCGTCGGTGGTTCCACCCGTATCCCCAAGGTTCAGGCCATGCTTGAGGAGTTCTTCGGAAAGAAGGCTCGCAAGGATGTCAACCCCGATGAGGCTGTCGCCTACGGTGCTGCTGTTCAGGGTGGTGTCCTCTCTGGTGACGCCGCCGCTGAGTCTCTCATTCTCATGGATGTCAACCCTCTTACCCTCGGTATCGAGACCACCGGTGGAGTTATGACCCACTTGATCAAGCGTGGTACCACCATCCCCACCAAGAAGAGCCAGATCTTCTCCACTGCCGCCGATAACCAGCCCGTTGTCTTGATCCAAGTATTCGAAGGAGAAAGGTCCATGACTAAGGACAAGTGAGTTTCCTACCCTGAGCGCTCGCTACAAAGACTGTCTTGCTAATTTTTCCCAACAGCAACCAACTCGGAAAGTTCGAGCTTACCAACATTCCGTAAGTTGATTCCGTCTGAAATGCATGAAAATACAACAGCTAACAGAACCCAGTCCCGCTCCCCGTGGTGTTCCCCAGATTGAGGTCACTTTCGAGCTCGATGCCAACGGTATCCTCAAGGTCTCCGCTATTGACAAGGGCACTGGCAAGGGTGAGAGCATCACCATCACCAACGACAAGGGCCGTCTTAGCAAGGAAGACATTGACCGCATGGTTGAGGAGGCTGAGAAGTACGCCGAGGAGGACAAGGCCCACAAGGAGCGCATTGAGTCCCGCAACAAGCTCGAGAACTACGCCTACAGCCTCCGAAACCAGCTCAAGGACGAGGAGGGTCTTGGTGGTAAGATCGAGGACGAGGACAAGGAGACCCTCCTTGAGGCCGTCAAGGAGACCCAGGACTGGCTTCAGAGCAACGCCGACGAGGCGCAAGCTGAGGACTTTGACGAGCAGTTCCAGAAGCTGTCCGATGTCGCCTACCCCATCACCTCCAAGCTTTACGGCTCGTCTGGTGGCCCTGGTGGCGATGATGTCCCTGAGGACCACGATGAGTTGTAGATGATCAACTTGGGTGGTAGAAGTTGCATCTTACATAGGGGTTTTGTTTGCGATCCCGGTGCTAGCTAGGCATAGTTATTGGCCACATGTATGAGTAAAAGCACTTTAGTGCGTGAGACAGTTTAGAAGCTCACGGCACATTCGGAGTTTGCTCGCACTATGATAGTATCATTTGAACGAATCAATTATGAAAGAATAATATCATGTTGTTTTGGCTGGTAACTGTGTGCGATATACGTACATTGACTGTGTCCTGGGTGTCATGAAATACTTGACATACCAGTGTTCAGAGGCCACTGTAGTCGCCAGGCATGCCTGTTAGGTGCTTACCCTACACCGTCAAGCATTCTGACACCACCTAGGTGACATGAAATACTTAACATTATACTATACAAAAGTTAAGTATGCGCCAGATATGCCAGATAGTAATAGAATACTAGAGTTCACCCACACTGTCGCTGTCAAGTATTTTATGTCACCCAGGTGACACCCCGGTGGTGTGTTCTTCAGATACTCTGTCTTCGGGGTTCCCGGTTAATAAATGATCTGTGTGCCGATTATCCAGCTTAGCTTCTCTTTTGATACGCACAGCTGTCCAGCTAAGCCTGGTATGTGTTGGTGCACGATCATCGGCTTGGTGGATATTAAATTTCTGTAGTACAGGCAGAGATGGCAACAAACAAAACAACCAACATTTGAGGCATAGATGTTGATTGACTGGCTCATTTCTTAGGGCTACAGTTTGTTTGTTTGAGTTGATGAGACTGAAGAGCCAATTTTTGGTTGGTTGATTGATTGAATATTGATAGACTTAAGGTTCTGAAGGGACGTTTCTATGACAATTCTGCAGGCGGCTCTTCCCACGTTCCTATCGCAAACTCTTCCGTGAGCTCCTCATCAGTATGCTTTGCTGCTGTTGTCGTGCTTGGTGTTGTAAAACCTGCACGAGTCCACCGTTGCAAGCACACCAAAGCAGCCAGTAACTGCGCGCCAATTTTCCGCCTTTGTGGCTCAATTATATCGCCAGTTCCCGCAAAAACGCGCTCACAATCAGAGCTGGAGGCGGGTATAGTCAACACGTCGATCGCCAATCGTGAAAGATGTGGATACTTCGGCTTCAACGATAACCAGTACTGTACAGCTGTTGGACCCTCCTTGTGTTGATCAGACGTCCACATAGGCTCTTTTAACCAGCTATCGTACTCATCCTCCACCTCCAATGTATGCTCGCCGTCCTCATCTAGTATAGCGTCGATAGCGTCGTCAAAGCTGCTCATGGTAGGTTTTGGCGCAGGGGTTGGTGTTGTGGCAGCAGCGGCAGGCTTGTAGGCAGCCCAAACCCGCAGAAACTTCGCGTGCGCGGTGCTCAATTGTGTAGGTTTGTCGCGCCAGAAGCGCTTAGAGTATGTTTTATATCGTGGATGTAGTGCCGTAGCTGCGTAGTAAATGGGACTTTGGAGGATCTTAGTAAAGTAATTGCTCGCTTTTCGCCTCGCGGCTCGCAGGTTGATCGGGATGTGATCTTCGGGCGCCTCAGATGGCTCGTGGTTGACCGATTCGTATGGCCGAAGGCGTGCATCCAGCTCAGTTATCACACTCTCAAATACTGGGATGACCTCGTAGAGTGCGCCAAAACGGCCACACTTGCCGCGGCCTTGGAGGCGATCTGTAGCAAACTTGAGCGGCTGCAGTATCGCCATGTACTCAGTAATCACCGCCCAGTCAGCCGCCGTAAGGCCGTCTGACCTCATCCACCGCGGCACATCAGGCAGCTTGTTTCCTCTAATAGCTGCCTGTTCGTCAGCCTGTTCAGTCTCGCGAATGTGGTACGTGGCGTATGCGTTGATAGCTTGTTGGAGCTGAACTCCGCGCTTAAAGCAGTCGTAATAGCTGTTCCAACGTGTAACACACGGCTTAATTGGCTCGCGAGTGCCGCCGCTGGCGCCTGTGGGCATGCTGTTAACTGCCTCGCGTTGGCAATCTTCAAAAATACTCCACTGCTTCGGCGTGTTGATGTAGTTGATAATATCAAGATACACGCCAAGCGGTCCTTCTTTCCGCCACTCCTTCATGTAAAAATCCTCCATCTTTGTGTTCTCCAGGGCGTTGTTATACGCGTCAGCATCCCTCCCGAACATAATCGTTTGGCCAACAAGGTTAAGTATGTGGCAAGCGCAGCGGAGGCGGCGATCGGAGGCAGAAAAGTGGTACATCGCGGCGAGTTTGTTAACAGCGGTGTCGTTATTGTAAGCGTTATCGAGCACAAAGTAGCCGAGTTTGCTGCGATTAATGCTGAAGGATTGCAGGATTTTGGTTACAGCGTCAGCTATCGCCTCACCAGTGTGGGCACCCACCAGCTGCGGCAGCGCGATGGGTAGGTCAACTATCGCGCCCTTACTGTTGGCGTAGTGAGCAACTACAGAAAAGAAGCCACGTTTGCCGCCTTTTGTCGTCCACCCATCGAAGCTTATATGTACCTTGCTCTCGGCTTCAGCCAACGCGCGCACCACCTGAGGCCGTAGCCAACTGTACAACCTCATCACGAACGCTGACACGCTGTTATGAGACCTCCATAACGCCGCCTCTGCCTCAGGATTAGCAAGCCTGATCATCTTGCGAAAAGCCGGCGTCTCAAACTCGCGGAGTGGTCTGTTGTTGTCGACCAGCCAGAGCGCAGCTGCCTGCCGAAATTCTTGTACGTCGAAGTTTCCTATAGTCTTGTACGCCTCTAGACTAAATTTGACACCGCTTAGAGCTGCCTGACGAAGTGATTGTTGTCCATGTTTGCGGAGAGGTTTGCTTAGGATTGGACCATCTTTGCTGAGCCGATGACCAGGTTTATCAAGCTGGAGGTGCCCGTTGGCGGCAGTGGTTGACTTCGTTACTCGGTGTACACCATTAGGTAGCTTATGAATATGACAGTACTTGCACACAAAGTACAACTCATCTGGGTGGTGAGTACCCTCCTTCCAGACACGCCAGCCGTGTTGAAAAATCCAGCTTGCCTTGCCTCGTGGAGTGCTCAGCGGCGCGACAAACCCCTTTAATCGCGACCAATCGACGCCCTCAAAGTCGCGAAAATCGACGCTCACAGCGCTATCCTCCTCCACCAAAGCCTCAGTGGCAGCGCTAGAGAAAGCTAAAGGCTGTACAATAGAGTCCTCTGGCTTATCAAACATTAACTGCGACTCCCAGGCTGGCTCATCAGTGAGCCGAGAGGCTTGTGAGGCAGCCAAAATAGGCAGTGGTGATGCCCGCCGAGGGCGCTCCTCGGGTTGTTGTACAGGCTTACATGGCGGTTCAATAGCCCGTGTGGGCGGCTCGATAACTTGTGTAGGCGGCTCTGTAGGCGGATCCGGCGTACTTTCTGGCAGCTCTATCGGCTGGGTTGGCTGGCTGCCGTCACCCAACAGCGCTTTGAGCGTAGGTTTGCGCGTACGTTGTGCTCGCTTGAAGGGAGTATCAGCTTCTTCGGCAGCCTCGGGCTTGCGTTTTGCTGGTATAGAGGGCATGGATAAGGCTAAAAGTAAGCCGGAGCCGCGAGAAAGTAAGGTGTTGTTAAATGTTATAAGCCTGATGTCAGTAGCACTAGGAATAGAACATGTGTGAATCGTGTTGTGTATTGTGCTACAGGAATTGAGATCTATGTCTCTGCCAGCTAGCGTTGTGGGCGCTAAGCCTCGTACGTACTAGCCTGGAGTGAGTGAGAGATGGGATGGAACCTAGGTCATATAACTTACACGCGAGTAGGCTTAGTAAGCAAGATCCAACACTAAGAATTCGTCGTTGAGCAGCTATCCCAGAGGCCTCACCTAGGTATCCCCCTCCCTCGCTTACTATCAAACAACACCAATCCTATCAACATTTTGTTCTCAAGATTGGTTGATTGATTGACAGAAATACAGTGGCTAACTGTTGGTTAGTTGGTTGGCTCCGAATCAAACAAATCAAACAACAATATTGATGAGATATTGATTACTGACAACCTTGAGTACAGGGCGCCATGGTGCAGTACTTGAGCAAGTATTTCCCGATACTGTTCTTCATACCTGGCATCTTGAAGCGTTCCAGCACTCATCACGTGGTTCAAGTGTTGGTCTTGATTCCGAGGTTGATCTGCTCACTATTTGGCGTTGGGCTGCCGTGCTTGCTTCGTTGGGTCAAACGTTGCTGTTCGCTTTCTTCACATCATAGTCTCTGTTGCACGCGTGCGCTTTCTTTCACTTTGTCTCATCATCGCGCTTTCCGTGTCACCAGCTTTCCAGTTTTCATGTACCGTCCCGCTCGTTCTTGTCTCGTTACTTTGTCTTGACGTAAGGGTCTCCCCTCTTTCAAGCTTGTTACTTGGTACCGTCCCAGGCTTTTCTACTCAACACCGCACATCACCTCCGCTCTCCGCACCTTCTCAGCACTCACAGTCGCGCCTTTGTCACGGCCATACAGTTTGCAACGGCATTTACTATTTACAAGAGTCGACTTTGAAGGTGTACCTGGATCTGACCTTTTGCTTCCCCCGGTGCTCCTGCCGAAACGACGCGTTGGCAGCTCAACATCGCCAGATCCTTCCATCAACTCTACCGCCTGCCCTCGCACTACGACCACTCCTGGGCCTGTTTCAGCTCGAGTTGACTCCGCTTAGATGCTACGCATACCCTGTACAATTCCACTCGAAATCCTATTCGTAAACGCGTCTGTTCGCCTAGTTATTCGTTGCAAGAAAAGAAAAAGCATGACACAAACACCAAACACACAACATCGATGGGGCGACTAATGAAAAGAGCGAACACAGAAGGTTAAGAGTAATGAGCACTGTCAGATGAGGCATGGGCTTGGCAATGACGCGATTAAGTTTTTTATGCTTTCGTATTTGCGGGAACTAACAATAAACAGTTACAAAATACTACACATAGACCACTAAGAGTCCTGACGAAAGATGCAAGTGCATCGGTTACCGCTATCCCCAGCACGCACAGGTATCCTGTCAGGTGGCCATGGCAAGAAGACTGCCTGGACGGTACATGCCCAGGGCAGCAATGAGCAAGGGGGAATATGGCGGAAGATGAATACGCAAAAAATCAGAGGCATGACAAACTCCATACGGACATAGACGACACCTAACCGAGGACGGCCTTGATGTGCTCGCTGTTCGCGCCCATGGAGCAGCCACCACCGACACCGGCAACATTGACATCCCAACCACCGCCACCACCGTTGCCGGAATGGCAGTTCTTGAGAGTGTAGTCGGATCCCTTTTCGCAAGAGGCCATGCCGTTTTTGCACACGAAGACGCACGTCTCCATGTCCGATGTGCACTTGGATCCCTTGGCGCTGATGTTGTCACCCTTCATGTTGACATTGCGCGAAACATCAAAGGTACCCCATTGACCAAAGTTCATCTCCAGCCAGGTGTTGTCGATACCTCCGAAGATGGAAGTGGTTGTGCCGGAGAAGACAGGGGCGCAGGCGGAAGGAACGTCGGCAGCCCAAGAGAGCGTTACTGACTTGCCGGACTTGACTGCGACGGAGATTTCAGGCTCGAACTTGGTCACGATCATGCCGTTGTAACCGTTGGATGCCCAGCAGTAGAGGACAGCATCATCAGCCTTGTTGTTGATGAACTCGATAGTATATTTACTGTCGTCGCCGATCCAGATCTTGCCATTGTTGCTCTTGTCGTTCTTTCCGATCTTGCAGTTCAGCTTCTCGGCAACTTCTTGGACACCGTGCATGAGATCATCGACAGCCTCGCCAATAGCGTCACCTACATCACCGAGAACATCGCCAATGATGCCGCCGATAGAGTTATCACCCGAGGGTTTGCTAGGTTTTGGCGATGGTGTTGGCGACGGCATAGGAGGGCTGCTAGAAGGGACATCCTCCTTGGTGACCTCGACCTCTGCGACAGGTGTGACCTTGGCAGCGGCGGCAGGCTTGTCGGCAGGCTTGTCGGCAGGAGCGTCACTCTCGGGAGTAGGAGTAGGAGTAGGAGTAGGAGTAGGGGTAGGGGTAGTCGAGGCGAAGACGGAGCTCCAGTTGACATCGCCCAGGTCATAGGCAACCTTGGACCAGTCGACTTCATCGGCGTTGCGCTTGGCTTCGCTGTATACAGTTAGTTGTGCGGCGCAAAGGTGATCATGGCAAGTACTTACGCAGCTTGACGGCGCGCGTGGAAGCTGGCGTGGCGGTTGTGGAGGTTGGCGGCGGCGGCCTGGCCAACGACGATGGTGCTCAGCACCAGGGCGGAAGAGTAACGCATGGTAGAAAGGGTTACTGATGGACGTTTAGGTTATATATGGCCAAAAGGTCGTAACGTCGTTCAACGGCGTATCTCGATGGGCTGGGAGGATGCGGATAGGAGTTTTGTTGGGTTTGTTTTGGTAAGGAGTGACTGGGTGAGCAAGAAGCAGAGGCCGGGCGTGAATGAGTGAACGCGCGAAATTTGCTTGTGTGGCAGAAAAGAAGGACGACGGGTGGGTTATATGGGCCGGTGAAGGGGAGGGAACAAAGGGAACAAGGCCAAAAGCACAGTATTCACCCGGCTCCATCTCATCTCCTGGCTGACCGGAGCGGACTAGCGCGCTGCGGACTCAGTGCTATGCCGTTTACTAATTTAGTCAGGGCCAATTGCTGCCAGCGCCTCGACCCCTGGCATAGCGGCCTTCTCTTTCCGTTTATCGCCTTGGGACCACGTCTATGATTGGTGTTCCTGGCTCAGGCACACTTGGCGCCCCCGACGTTTGAGAGTTTGAGAGATTGCCCATTCGTCGCCTGAATCGTGCTGCCGCCCACACGAAGCAACTTGTTTACGCGCTTTCGATATAACACAATGCGACGTGTTCTTCACATTGCCCACGACTTCACCGTCTGTCGCGACGACACCAGCGCATTGCCCCCACACGGATTCCCATTCACCGCCCGCGCTCCACTGGCAACAGGCCGCGCAATTGTGATCTCCTCTGGTGGGACCGCCCTGCTGTGATTGGAACTGGCGCATGCGTGTCGTCTTGTCGCCGCGAACCCAAGTGGGGAAATTGACCTTCCAGATTCCAGAACCACTTCCACCGGCCGCGTCGCCCTGGTGTCGCTCTGACCTCGCCTACATATGTCACCTTCACATGTTTTCTAACCCAAGTCTAGACACGACTAGCCACAAAGTCTGTTCAAGTGCCACGACGTCCATGACTGACACTGCCGGGGAGCACAAGGCCTGTACGTAGTCGAATTCATACATCGATATCCACAAATTCCCCGTCGGCTCCCTCCCCAGCAAGCCCACTCAACAGCTTCTTCATGTCCGGTAATCCATGCATTACTTGGATATAGCCCGTCTGTCATATAGCCCATCGTGACGCAACCGTTTCCACGGCTACTCGCTCGGTCCATTGTTTACTTCCATCTGCACCTACGCAGGATTCTCTCCACTCACGGATCAGCACCATGTGCCGATGTGACGTTTGTGGAGCCCCGGTGCCGTCAGCGGGACGATAAGCCTTTATCGCAACGTGGTGGCCCGCATATGCGTGAGGAAAATCTCGACGACAATGCCCACCAGTCGGGTCAGGAACAGCAAGGGAAGTCAGCCCACGACGTGGAACAGCCAGGGGAGTCAGCACACAACGTGGTGGGCCGCTGTTCGCTGAACCTTCACTGTGACGCTGCTATTAGCGAAAAACGGAATCATAGCCGAGACCACCTTGACGGAAACCTCTACTTGGTGCCAGGTCTTTTGTGACTCCCTCCCAATCAGCATGAAGCACATGTGCAGATTCTTTCAGACATTATTCTTTTTCCCGATCATTTCTGTTTGCGGTAACATCTGCGTAGACACTGCGAGGGAAATGATCCTTACACAGAACGATATGTTGAACTACACAACTTCTATGTCCTGGCCGAGACGAGACGAACCCAAGAGAAGTTACGTGGGAACACGACCGTATGCTGGAAATCTCCTGCCAGCCCACCGTCCTCTACTCAACACATTTACATCTTTCCCTTCTCTCAAATCCACCAACACATGCCAACCCAAGCATGCATCGCTGGCACACGCCCATTGGCAAAAACTCGCTTACCAACCATCCACACTACAATGGTAGTGTAAGTAGGTAATTTCCCAATCTTCCAACTTCATCCAATCCCGCAATGCGGGAAAGCAACTTCCGGAAGACTCATGCAGGTCCCTTTGTAAGCCGCCTTCGTATGGTCTTATCGATACCTACTCCAATCCGCATCCATGTATGTGATGTCACCCACGTGTAAGTGTCTGTCCCATTTGGAGCCCGTTCTAGACACCAGAAAAGTGTGCCTACAGTGTAATCTCGCTTCTTGCTTTTTTTTCTGTGGGGGGGCTAGTCGGGCTGGATTTCTACAAACCTGCATACACGGTGAAGAATCTGCAGTGGGTTTGTAATGGTATGTATGACTGTTTTGCTTTATTGGAGTATGGTTGGTAGAAAAGAGTTTTCTTCCCTCTTGTCATTGAACGATGCTGATGCAGATGCAGTTGTAGATGTAATTACTGCAGCTTTAGCGAGCATGTGCATGTGCGTCGTTCAGCCGAGTACGAGACGAGGTTGGTCTGCACTCTGCACTCTGCACATGTCATGTTGCGGTGAGCTTTAAGCGGCGGCCGGCGGTGCGGCGCGGCGGAAATATTTGTGTAAGATGACGACGGTGGCTCACTCGTTTTTTCGCTGTCGCAATCGATCGTACAGGACCTCGAATCGAGGCGGCGATTGGGTTTAGTCAGCTGGAATTATGACATGTGGCGTTCGGTCTTGTTGCTGAGTTTGTACATGTACGCACTAGATGGGATGTTGGGTGTGAGTTGCCACCACATAGGTACGTAGTCGCAGCAGCAGGATGCGCGCATAGTTACTGTACATACGCATACGTAGTTCAAACCTCAACATTTGCAACACCACCACCAAGCCCGCCTAGAGATACCTGAAACTCACATGTCTTACCCTCGCTTGCCTCCACCCTTGCCCTGTCAAACCTTACCTGCGGTTCCCCTCAACCCCCTCCTGTCACCGTCGCACGTCGCGCCATTCAAGTTCCCCCTCCTTCTCAAAATACCTGAAACACAAAGACACGCACAGGAGAAACCGCTCCAGGGTCTTTTGTAGTAGTGTAGTAATGGCGCTTGAATCGTGCGACTGAACTACACTATGTATAGTTTGTACAATCAAAACAGAGCTTGTGAACTTGTGAGCTTGGTGATGAACTAGGTGGGTTTCCGGTGAGATGATGGTACAGCACACTGTCAAGGTTCAGCAAGTGTTGTATTGTGGTGGGTTTACTGTTGTTGAGACTTTATTGTGTGAGGTTTGTGTCGTTGTCGTGTCGACACGTCGTTCTGCATCATGTGGGCGCGCGTGATCCGTGTGCCTTGCGTTGATGCCTTGGTGCCTGTCGATCAAACGTATGGTACCGGTACCTGAAGATCGGGTTTGCCGATCCTAGCACCGTCCGCTGCAGGCTGGGAGGTTTTCTGGCACGAGAGATTCCGGACGCGCAGGGCTGGGGAGGGGGTGTGTGGGTGGCGTAGTGATGGGATGAGATAGGATGGGATGGGTAGGGGGTGTTGGTGAGGTAACCGCGGTGGGTGGAGCTGATGGGCCGGTGAAGGTGGTTAGGGTGAGGTAGGCTGATGTGAAGGCAGGTTTGGGGGGAGGAAGGTGCGATACGACCTTTGGAGGGTGTTTGATATTTAAATGTACTTTATGTGTAGAAAGATAGGATGAAATGATGTATAGTATTATGCTATATTGGTAGCACGTGAATATAGTTACCTACACATCTACTTTACCCAGTACAGCTAGGTTAACTAACTATCCACAGAGACGTCGAAACGCCTAATCTAGGAAACTAACTAGTTTATAGAACATTTAAACCGACTCTCCCTCTTCGTTTTTCTCATATACCTTCTTTCCTTCAAGCACACACCTGCCAAACAACGCTGCGTGAAAGTTCATCGCCCAGCAGATCCTAGGTACTAGATTGTAGGCAAGAAGATGCCATAGTAGTCACATAAAAAGGTACACAATAACAATAAAGCAGAGAGGTAAACACGCTGCGGTTACTCCAAACCTTCTTCTCCAAACCCGTCTCAACACCTTCCTTCTTCCCTCTCCCCCGGGTACCACTCCCTCCCCAATAAACCCACTACCACGCACTACCACCCGGTACACCATCCCGACGCCCCGTCTCTCCATCTTCCGATCCCGCCACATTGTTTTTCCCACCAACATTTGTTTTCCCGTTTTGCTTGTTGCTTCTCAGCAACGGCATATCCCTTCTTTTTTGCGTTTCAGGGTCTTTTTGTCTTTATTTTTAGGTTACTTTCCTTGTGGGCTTGTTTGCTGCGTGTATGTGCTACAGATCCCGCTTCCGCTTCCGCTAGTTACCGACCGGTTGAACCGATGTGTCTACTTACCTGGGTCGCGAGGAAAGTATACTACCGGTGGACTGGGCTGGTATAATACCAACATCTACTATAAAACAAGCCGAGCATTCGACCATAGGCTAGAATGGCTTGGCCTTCACTTCTCACTTCCCACTCACTTCTCACTCACTTCCCATCTCACTTTCCGCCTTCGCCTCCGCCTGCCCAGCCGGACGTCAGCTTCGGGCTGGGTTGTGTTACGCGGCCTTAACTTCATTACTTATTCTTTCCTGTCGTATAACCCAACGAAGCTGAAACCGGAGTTCAGCGGGACTTGCGAAAGGGCGGACTGGGTAGGCTGGATTTTTTTGGTGTGTTTGAATGGTAAGGTGTATGGGGTGATGAAGGTGGGAAGGTGAAACGTGGTGGTTTTCTTGGAGGGGGGAAACGAGAGTCTTGGCGGTTTGGCGGACGGGGGTGGATGGTGTGGACAGTGTGGTTATGTGAGGTGATTGGGTTGGGTCGGTGTGGTAGTTTGATTAGAGGGAATTTGGTGATTTTGTAGATGAGCCAGTGGTTCTCTGAGTACTGCTGTCTGTACCCGAACCCGAACCACGAGTGAAGAAGTGCCGGTCAAAAGGACAAAAGCTCAAAGTGTACTGTTTCACGGCTCATGGCATTGGGAGAAAAAGCTTGGTTGCAAACATACGAAGATGCTCAATTGCATTCGGAGAAAAAGTTGGGTATATGCTATCTTCCGGCACAAACCAATGTGCCTGACACAGCCACTCGTGGCACAAACAAACACCAGGTCCACCTCCCACCTCCCATCACCACACTTCTTCCTCCACAGCTCACTAGAAAAATCTTAAACAAATAAATCTCTCCACCAAGCTTCCACATAATACAAGAAAAGCGAATGGACGTCCGAGGCCAGCCGTGCGGGTTGGAGGGGTATCTCGAAACATGCAAGCGAAAGTAAATGAAAAAAAACTAGCAATAAACAAAAAAAACATCATGAAGCTTCCCATATCATTCCCTTTGGCTACTTTGTTATCGTAGTACAGAAGCCAAGGGTTTTGAAGATCGTGTTCGCGCGCTTTGTTAATGCGGCAGAAAGCGTATGGGGTTTCTGTATCCAACAGAAAGGGTTGTAAAATAGGAAAAGTTGTGTCAACGCCGTGAAGATGCTGCATGGGTTTGGTATCCATCATGCGAAAATAGACGCCGTTTATAAGGAGTTACGATTCGAGATAACATCAGTAGCTGTCGAAGTCGCGGGGAGCACCTGGACCGTAACCGCGCTGTTGGGGGCCGGGGCCTTGTGGGGTGAAGTTACGTGGAGGAGGTCCCTGGGGAGTGAAGCTACGAGGGGGAGGGCCCTGGGGTGTAAAGCTGCGAGGTGGGGGTCCCTGAGGTGTGAAGCTGCGTGGGGGAGGACCTTGAGCCCAACCCGGTTGCTGAATCGGTGCAGTTGCGCTGCGTTGCTGTTGTTGAGGTAGGGCCGATCCGTTCATTCCTCGGTTGGGGAAAGGGTTCGAGGCTTCGCGACGTTGGATAGCAGATTGCAGAGATTGTGGCACACCAGCACGAGGCGGTGCGGTGCCTGATCGTGGCTGGCTCGGTAAGCCGGCAGGCCGAGACATGGCAGGCGATCCGGCTCTTAAGTTGTCCGGCATCTGTGGTGGCTGGTAGTCCTCTGGGCTCGAGTCTCCGTAGTAGTGGCGCGTAATGTCCTCTGTTGGCGTCATATCAACAGGCGAAAGCTCGTACTCTTGACCCATTTGTGGGTTTCGGCTGTTGAAAGGGCTGAACTCTTGGTAAGGGCGGCTAGGTTGAGGCTCGGACTGGTATTGGAAGTTGTTGTAGTTTGTATCAACAGGCGGCATTGGTCCACGCGGCGGCATTGGAGATGCTCTGCCCTGAGCCATTGAAGTAAAAGACCTCTCGGGCGCGTATTGCGGGTTGTGCTGTTCACCAAAGTATCCCGGCCCATTGCGATCCAGAGGTGGCATAGGAGGCGCTGGCGACGACCTGCCCATGTTACCGGCTTGATTCAACATGGGCGCATTAGAGCCATAGCTGGAAAAGCCTGTTTCGGAACGGTTGGGCATGGCAGGGCGCTCGTCCAGCGTAGGTAGAGAAGGCTTCTGGATCAAGCTTCGGCCCGTTGAGTTCATGGTATTGGTCCTGTATGAAGGCGCATTGGACGCAGAATACGGTGGAAGCGTTGAAATCGTGTTCATAGTGTCGGATCGTTGCATAGAGAAAACAGTTGATCTGTCGTCATCGTCTCCGTCCAGCTTAGGCAGAGTGGGGCGTGATTTTGATGAATCGAATTCACCCTTCTTGATAGCCCTCTCTTCTTCCTTCTTCAATTGCTGGTTCTGCCTCTCAATCGCCTTCTTGATCTTCTTGCCAACAATGCGCTCCAGACGAGTCTCGACCTTGCGTCGGCAGTAGTTGGTCAAGCTGCCGTCAGCCTTGGGAATGTAGTGCCACAGGAAGAAGATGTATGCTAGTCCAGCGGCGAGCAAGGACAGGGCGGTAATGACCCAGATGACGAGCGAGAACAACATGGTGAAGTAGATGACGATTTCCTGCTTGTTGCCGGTGTCGACCATGATTTTGATATTCATGAAGAACTGCTCAAAATTGGAACGGTCCTTGGCACTGTGATCGCCTCCTGGGATAATCTGGGCTTGCATGACGGCATACAGGGTCATGGCGTTGAGAGCAATGCGCGGTCCTTGGGCGACAATGAGGATTAGGGCGCTCTTGAACTGGAAGTAGACGAAGAGGGCAATGTAGTTGGCACCCTTTTTACTCTTGGTCAACTCGGCGAAGACCAAGAAGCGACGCCAACCCTGACCCTCCTTTGTGATGCGCATACTCTGCAAGATAGCAGCCAAAGGCTCGAGGTAGCACTCGGTCACACTGCCCATGCGCATGACGCGCAGAGCGCGGATCCATCGGTATATGAGGAAAACATAGGAGATGATGATGGTGATGGCGAAGATCCATTTTGCGATTTCAAAGGGAACGACGGGCTTGACTTGGCTCGTCCACTTGTCAAAGGCGAGGAGGTTGACGGCAGTGAAGGCATCGGCGGCGTAGACGGCGCAGGAGATGAGAACGAGGATCCACAGCCAAGCGTAGGAAAAGGGCGCGAGACACGAGGTTGACTTGAAGTCAGACAGCGTCTTTGCGACAGTCAGTATATTAGGCTGAATGCGGGGTGCGCGCACTTACAATGTAGTCCCATTTCTGCTCCTCGGTCACGGTGACGCCCTTTTCACGGTCTCCACAGCACCCCATAATGGGCGGTGTTGGGTATTAGATATGTACGGTGGTGTATGTATATACTGTGGTACGTCCGATCAACGGTACGAAGGCCTGCAGTCCAGCTGTTTCGTGTAAAGAGAGACTGTGGTGGCTATGACATGGGGTTGGGCTTTGATTTGCAAAAGGACGGTCCAATTTCGGATTGAGGGTGTTGGTGGTAACAGGCCGGCTGCTCACCACGAATAGCGAACAGTCAAGAGGGAGCGACAGGGGCGGTGGTTTTGTAAACCACGCGGAGCAATTGAGGCTGATGGCCGGGAACGGCGTGGTTTCCGGATGCGTAGCTGTTCAGGTGTTCGGTATGCTACTTGGATTGTGTGCGCATGACAAGAGGACACGGGTGGAGCAGCTTGTGTTTGAGACGCGCAGGCTTGAACTCAGGCAAACTGCGGAAAAACGGTTTCCGACAGGCGCCACAAGGTATATGTATACAGCCCAACGGCCGAGTTTGGGTGTGTTTCGCGGCTTATTGTCGTCGCTTTTGGGGGGGGGGGTTGCGGTGAAAGCGACTACAATGGGGAGTGAACGAGTGGGATCGGGGGCAGGCAGGCGTCAAGGAGGTTAAAGAGCGACAGGCGTAATGGTGCACACAACACGAATCGATGGCACAATGCTAGCAAACGACGAAGCGAGTGAGTCGCGAAGCCAGCGTCTACGTTTGTTGATGTTGTACGGCACAGGCACGAGTGGTGTCGAGGGAGCGCGCGTGAATGTTAAGCTCGCTGCCGTCAGCCGTGAGCGGGTACTGGCATTGGACGCGCCACATTCCTCATGACCCAACCGGCACCTTGCCCGATACGGCACACGGCTAACCTGTTCCTCGTATCCTGCGCCGCAATCATTCGCGGGGTATATGGCCATGCTAATCTATCCAAGGCCCTATCACCGGCTGTAGCCTCCTGACTGAGTACTTGATGCCGCGTTAAGCTTCGCCCAAGTCCGGAGCCTCTCGAACAGTGTGGGAGGCAGTGTGGGACGGGCGGCTGCAGCAGAGCCGCTTGGAACCAACACTCGACATGTTCCCCACGCACATGGTACTTCTGAGGCACTTACGTCTCCCTTGGGAAAGGATGGCTGACTTTCCGACCTTTTCCTGTGTCGTCACACGAGAAGGTCCGAATTCCTGGGGAGCATCGGGAACGTCGGCTGCCTCAGCCTCAAGAGCCTCAGCCATCGCGAAACGAAACGCGCATGATGTACATCATTGGACTTGTTGATGAGGCAGGAGTGGCTTCGTTGCTTGCATTGACGTTGACTTGTCAGGGACAAGATCGCCAGGCTGTGAGGGTGAGGCGCATTGTGTCTCCAACTCGGCTCCGTCCTCGCGCGAATATCGGGATTGGAGAAGATATGTGGCACTCTGCTTCATCTACACAAAGGCACGACTGCGCTTTAAACATTTTGTTTGCTGCCATGTGTGAAGCGGTGAGCAGAGGTTTGGTCATCTTTGGAACCCAAACTTTATGCTACAGGAAAGAAATCTCCTACTATCAATGCGATTCCTGCGGTCAGGGTCCATGAATGAAGGCGCTCATCCCAACGCATACCAAACTTACTATTAGTCAGGTACTTTGCTCATGGGAATAAGCTCCTTTAGATTCCTTTGTCTATTGGCATGGAACATTTTGGTCCCACCTTCTTTGCAGTTTCTGCTCGTACCTGACTGTGGTGCAACCGAACCTGAGTAGGCTACACACACCTGGTACCCGAGACAGGCCCGAAATACATTTAGCCGCTCTGTCGCAGTTTCGCAGCCAACACCTATCTCTTGGTATACTGAACACGGTAGCTTTTGATGCAGCATCGATTGTAGCACTAAAGGCTTGGTGCGGTCAAGTTCGGCGTCCAAGACTGCTTAGCAAGCGCCTGTTGTAGTTCTCCCAAGCTCTTGAGGCATTTCTTGGTGAAATATCACCAAGTGTTGCAACCAGAAGGCGCGCGGTACGTATACTTTTGCAGCGTGCATGCAGATCGCAGACGCAGACGCAGGAAGCATGTTTGTGTTAGTCGGCTACACTCTCGACGTCGTCAGCATCTGTAAGCTCAGCTCCAACTGGCCCCACCCTCGTACAGTTAGCTGGTAGATGGGGTGTAAGCAACTCCAAGCTCATAGTGCAACCACCATCAGGGCCCAGCATATCGGTTAAGACGACGATAGGCTTCTGACAAATCATCACAGAAAGAAATTCATAGTCCGACTGCTGCCATGACGTCCCAAATGAGGAAGGCGGGGCTCCGAGCTTGCCCCGCGGCAGGGGTCCGATCGTTGAATGTTTAACACGCACGTCATATCGGTTCTTTCGAGAAGAGTGGGAGGAAGGTATAAAGATGTCATTGACCACCCACTCTTTGCTGTCATCATAAACTAAAGCCCCAGCCTTCAACAAGACATCCACAACTTACCTACCAACCCTACCTAAAGCCAATCGCAATCATGGGTATCGAGGCTGATACTGCGACGCCGCATTCTCACCATGCTCTCGCAAAGGATGTCCCCGAGGACAAGAAGAGCGATCAAGTCCCAAAGCATGATGAGTTAAGGAACAAGGCTGCGACTGGTGTATGTACTATCTCCATGTCATTAGATTCTGCTAACATGTCTAGATTTCTTACTTCACTCCTGCTCAGGAACCTGTAGCTGGAACTGCTCTTGGAATGCACGACAAGAGCTCCAAGATTCCCAAGCTCTTCCAGCCCCTCAAGCTCCGTGGTCTTGAGATCCAGAACCGCCTCGCCCTCTCTCCCCTCTGCCAATACTCGGCTGAAGATGGCCACCACACTAACTGGCATCTCACACACTTGGGCGGTATCATTCAGCGTGGACCTGGGTTGTCATTTGTAGAGGCCACAGCTGTTGTTGCTGAGGGCCGCATCACACCTGAAGACAGTGGTCTCTGGAAAGACTCACAGATGGAGCCTCTCCGCAAGATTGTCGAGTTTGCGCACTCGCAGGGCCAGAAGATTGGTATTCAACTTGGACACGCTGGACGCAAGGCTAGCACCGTAGCACCCTGGTTGAGCAAGGGAGACATTGCTACCAAGGAAATGAACGGCTGGCCAGACAATGTGTACGGCCCGTCAGCCATTGCATTCAACGACCATCATTGCACACCCAAGGAGATGACCAAACAGGACATAGAGACCTTTAAGCAGGCTTTTGTTGACGCCGTCAAGCGTGCCTTGAAGATCGGCTTTGACACAATCGAGATCCACAACGCACACGGATACCTCCTGCACTCTTTCCTCTCGCCTGCATCCAACAAGCGAACTGACGAGTACGGCGGATCGTTCGAGAACCGCACCCGTCTCACACTAGAGATAGTCGAGCTCGCCCGCAAGACCATTCCAGACTCTATGCCTTTGGTTCTTCGTATCAGCGCAACAGACTGGCTCGACGAGGCTGGTATCGAAGGCTGGACACTTGATCAGACTGTCAGGCTTGCCGAGATTCTGGCTGAGAAGGGTGTAGACCTACTAGATGTCTCATCTGGTGGTCTTCACGAAAAGCAGCATATTCACGGCGGACCCGGATACCAGGAGCCTTTCGCCAAGGCTGTAAAGGATAAGGTTGGCGATAAGATGGCGGTCGGTACTGTTGGCAGCATCACCGATGGCAAGCAGGCAAACGGATACCTGGAGAACGACAACCTGGACGTGGCTTTCATTGGTCGCATGTTTCAGAAGAACCCTGGCTTTGTATGGCAATGCGCTGACGACCTTGGTGTTGAAGTCCGATGGGCAAACCAGATCCGATGGGGCTTCGGAGGCCGTGGCAAGAAGTAAGTCTTGTCCAAGCCCCCTGCTTCGAGGATGAACGACCAACGACGTACTTGTTTCGGTCCGTATCATAGACATGATGTAGACGATGTAAATTTCACGATTGTAGAACGATTCTAATATCCGATTTTCCAGGGACCAAGTCATCGATAAGAATGCCTTTGCCAATGAAGCCGCGTTTGAAATGAACAAGCCGAAGATGTGAGTAATCTAAACTACTATAAGACTTGAAGAACACCTAGAAGCATCCCAAGGCATTGGCCATATATACGTCATCCAAACACCGACTAACGCCTGTACACGCTCATACTTCTCCAATACTCTGTCTGCATCATGCTCCGTTCGTACCATTCACACCATCCGTCTTCTCATCAATCTTTCCATTGACCCGCCCATGCTTCTGCCCTTCTGCTTGTCCATTCTCCTCTTTCCCAAAGACCCCCTTCCACAACTTAAATGCTTCGACCGTCTTACTCGGATACCTGACCCTCTCCCTTGTCTCCTGATTCATGCGACCCAAAATCTCTATACTCGGCACCACTGTCTCCACGCCATCGACCAACACTCTCTCTTCCTCCATATACGGATAGATATCCGCTTCTGTCCCCGGAATACGGCGATCGTTTGTCGCCGTCAGGATACTAATCAGCGTCTTGATACCCAACAACTGCTGAATATTATCGCCAATACCAAGCGACGGTAAAAATTTGTTGAGAGCTGAAGTGATGGAGTGCGAAGTCTTCTTAACAGCACTAAACAACACACCGCCGGGTGCATAGGCCAAGACATCGCCATAGATATCGCCACTACCGGTGTAATGCGACTCCTCCATCTCTTCTGCATGCGCCCTACTCGCCGCCTTGACAAACTCCTCACTCAACCTCTGAATATCCTCTTCCGCTCGTGGCATAATCATCGTCTCAGACCCGCCATCCACCTCCATAACACCCCGCACCAACCACCTCAGCACAGCATCACTAAGCACCTGATTCGGATAAATCGTGCGACTCAGCAAATCCGGCAACCACCCCAACACCTCCTCAATCCAATTCACAGGATTCTGCCTCACGAACCGGAACGTCATACGCCCGACATCGTAATGCGTGCCCGGAAACCACGTTTGGCGAACAACCGTCCTACCATCTTCCGCCTCGTCCGCAGCGTCTGGTAGAACGAGACAAGGCTGGAAGATCCAAAGTCGGTCGTGCAAACAGGGTGCATGCCACACATGCTGGACAACCGCACTCATACTCTGATCGAAGAACTCAAACGGACTCCAATCAAACCCTATCCCAGCATTCAACCTCGGTATCCCCAGCGCCCCAACCGTATCAATAACACCCATGAAGCGAATCGGTCGTTTGACCTGCCATACTTTGTCGTCCAACCCCTTCCACCGCTGACACTCATCTGACCCCGGTGCATCAGAGGGTAAGTTAGATCGATACGTTCGAAAAACTTCAAAGCACAGTCTATACAGTTCTGCATCCGTGTATTGCTCCCGTCGCTTGATGATGCCGCAGTTGTTGATCATACCCGCAACACAGCGTACGGTGAAGGCGCCCCGCGAGAAGCCAAAGAGCCAGATCTCGTGTTCGGAAGTAAAGTTCTCGACAATGTATTTGTACACGGAGATGCATTCTTCACTTATCGACGAGGCGGTCGCTCCGTCCCAGATATATTGCAAAAAGTTCTTGTTTAGCCCGACGCCTTCTTGGTAGCCGGCTGTTATGTTGCTGCTATTGGTGTGCGCGTGTGGGACGATGGGGTGCACGGCTGCGGCCGTCGGGTCTTTAGTGTAGTGTACTTCGCCTACCATGTTGGCGAGTTGGCGGATATTACTAGGCGGTGCATCGTCGACTTTTGTTTCGCGGCCCACCCAAGTGCCGTCGCAGAAGATGGCGAGGCGTTTTGGGGGACGGGTGCTGGTTTTTGATGGCATGGCGACGGTAGATGAGGGGGCGGACTTGAAGTTGGGATGATGTGTTGTATATCGGATGAAAAGCGTAGGGAGATGGGCGTTGTATCGAGGATTCCGTAAAAAGGCCAGGTATGTTTCAATAATAGTCCAGGTAAAAATCTAAAGGACAAAATAAATGTGAGTCGCCCCTGTTGCCTAACCCAGCTCTTTCTCTATCTCACGACCCGTGATGATGTATGTTGACCACGCAAGCCTGCTTAGTTCGACCGAGTCAGAGTCGCGAACGAACAAGTCACACACACACACCATGCTCCGTGCAAGTTCGCAAACCTCACAGCCACAGGAAACCACCCTAAAAGTCAAGAAACCACAGAACTAATATACCCTTCTTATCTCGCCCATAAGCAAAAAAGTCCTCAGCGGCTGAAATCAAATCAGGGGGGCTGAGCAGCGGCTGTTTTGCCTCAGCTTGGTTGCCTTCTTCTTCTTGGTAAGTGGTAGTCAGAAGTGAGCACCGGGGCCGCCGCCGAGCGAGCGCGTGCCAACAAGGGGCGGGCGGCCTTCTGACACGTATAAGCGGGCTGATGCCCTCAACGGGGGAATGGCACCGAAAAAGGTAAGGTATCTTCAGCTGTGGATTGAAGCTGATAAACGGCTGAAATGTGTGCGTAATTTATTTGTGACTCTGACTTTTTGCTATCAAGGGCGGTGGTTTTGGCGCGTGACGTCATCGGCACAGGGCGCGAGCCGTTTGCCTGGTTGAGGTATTGCGCCTGCGGCTGCCTGTCATTTGGCTGAGTGATGGAGGGCGCATGCGCCGTCGTTCAGCACAAGAGAAGACGACGTCGAGATGCGTGTGACGCAGTATACTCTCTCCTACACCACGACCTCATCAGCCGCCTCCCACATCCCCCTGAACGCATCCCTCCTCGCCTCCTCTTCTCTCAAGGCCCCATCCTGCACCTCCACCTCTCTCACCACACTTTTATCCTCGCCATCAACCGCTCCAAACCCCGACAGCACTTCCCTAACCTGCTCCCCCATGCGCCTCACACCCTCCACCTCCTCCCTCTTGCGCCGCACCTGCTCCTCCATCCGCTCAATCAACGTGTGTCTCGCCTGATGCGGCCGATACTCGTTGATTAGCGCATGCATATTTGCAACCATGGTCATGATATCCTTGAGCTTCTGCTCCTTCGCGTCGGACGTGGGGTTCGAGGCGACGATACCCAGTAGTGAGATGTAGTTTAGCAGTATACTGCGTAAGAAGCGGAAAAGGTAGTTTTGGCGGTCGAGCGTCGCCGAGTTTGTGGTTGTTGTGGGTTGTTGCTGTGGGGAGGAGGGGTCGGTGTCGCCAGCCCCAGTCCCAGCGTCGCCGGAGGGGTAGAGTTGCTCGTACGTCCAGTCTGTGAAGACGCCTTCTAGGGCGAGGTTGTGCGCTATGTATTCCATGTTCTTCATGAAGACGTTTGTGCCTTTTGCTTTTGTGACGACGTCGAAGACGTGGAATTCATCGTCGTCGCCGGGCGGTTCAGGTGGGATTAGGTAGCGCAGTTCGGTTGGTAGAGCGAGGATTTGCTCGGTCGTGAGCTTCGTTGTGGAAGAGGTTTTTGTGTCGTCATTATCGGATGTGGCTTCTTCTTCAATCTCCTTCAGTCGCTTCACGTTCTCCGTGGTGAAGTGCTTGTAGAAAGGTGGGGGGTCGGGGAAGAAGCTTAGGATCAGATCTTCGTCGTCTGGCGGTGGCTGCGGGTCTGCCATTGTTTACGTTCACAGTTTACTGAGTATGGATGTAGTTTGAGTCTGGTGGTACAATTGGAGGGGGTTGTGGTTAAAGCTACGCGTAAATGCTGGTCCTTGGAGACGCGATGCTGGACCCTTGCACGGATGCTTGCGAGAAAGCTTGGGCCATTCACCCGCATGTCATCGGCAGCCTACAACTACGCCATGGCCGCGACATCGTTCCTTTTCTGACGAGACAGGTCGGTATGAAGCCATGGGTATCCATATTATTGGTAACACTGCTTGCAGCTAGGCGTAAATGGTGTATTCGCCGAACATACCCCACTTCGTCCGAGCCGATTTGTAGGTTGTGTAGATGACGCTGTCGTTCCATTATAAATCAACAACTAGCATATAAAATAGTGGAGGTATATATTGTAACATCAATACCAAGTAGAAAGTCTTCAGATTTATCCCAAATAACCTTTTGAATCTATCATTCAAGCGCTCCATCCACATAAAAACCATGTCTACCCAAAAAGCAGTCGTTCACGTCTCAAAAGGTGTCTCTGAATTGAGGAACGACGTACCCCTACCTAAAATTCCAAGCGACAATTGGCTTCTTGTCAAGACCAAAGCTGTAGCACTAAACCCAACTGATTGGAAGAACATCGAACGGTCAACAGCACCTGGCGCTATTGCCGGGTGTGACTATGCTGGTGTAGTCGAAGAAATTGGCAAGAGCGTGACCACCTACCAGGTCGGAGACCGAATCGCCGGCTTCGTTCGTGGAGGTAAGTTGATGTGTTGGTCCTGTCATAGAATGCTTGCTGATATTTCCCAGGCGACCCAGCAGATCATTCCAATGGTGCTTTTGCCGAGTACATCAAGACCAAGGCCGGTATCAACGCAAAGATCCCCGATAACATGTCTTTCGTGGATGCCGCAACCTTGGGCGTCGGAATTACCACAGTCGCCCAAGGCTTGTATCAGGAACTTGGCCTGCCACTACCCCCAGCCAAGGTACAAGAACCTACCTCGGTGTTGATCTATGGTGGATCTACTGCAACAGGTACACTTGCCATCCAGTTTGCGAAACAATCTGGCTGCGAAGTCATTGCAACGGCCTCTCCGCACAACTTCGACCTGCTGCGCAAGCTAGGCGCGGACCACGTTCTCGACTACAACGAGGCCGATGTAGGTGCCAAGATACGGAAGGCGACAAACGATAAGCTCAAGCTCGCGTTTGACTGCATTGCCGAAGGCAATTCTTTCGACATCACCGCTGCAGCCATCAGTTCCAGTGGAGGTCACATGTCTGCGCTCCTGCCAGTGAAGGACTACCCGAGAAACGACGTCAAAACCAAGTTCACCTTGGCCTACACGGCGCTTGGTGAAAAATACGACGATAAACGCGATGCCAGCCAGACTGACTACGAATTCGGTGCCAAGTTCTGGAGACAGGCTGAAGACTGGCTTAACAACGGCAAGATCAAGACGCATCCAGTCGAGGTGCGAGATGGGTTGGCCAGTGTTCCGCAAGGTCTGCAGGATCTGAAGGACGGTAAGGTCTCCGGTGTGAAGCTTGTGTACAGGGTCGAGTAAAGAATCTTACTGCGTTCAAATAGAGGATGAGAGAGAGCACACAGTATGACTGTAAAGGATTATGCTCAAGGGGCAGTCGCATAGACATACCAAGATCGGGACAGGACATATATAGAGCGATAGTGTCTAAGCGCCGCTTGGACGCTCGCAAAAGGCCCGAAGGCATGAGCGAGAAATACTCTGACTAGGCATCGACCTCAATTGTATAGTAGTTTTCGTGGGGCATATCAGGCATTGACCTGTTCGGCACGGTAGTAGTTACCTTATACAATACTAAAAGCTTTGCTTTACTACCCACATACACTGTGCTTACGTGTACTCATCGGCAGCATAGTCTTTTTATTTATACACGGACTACACCCGTATAAAAGAGCCTAATCTCAGAAAGTATTATCTAGCAAAAGGAAAAGCCTCTATACATAAAGCTATCGACAAGGTTGAAATTTTATTATTGCTGTATTTGTGAAGACGTAGGGGTAATAACTTCTAGCTAAGATCATGCGATAAGCTACTACTAGAATAATAAGGAGACTGCAGGCACAGTGGACAAGACGGACGAGACGGACGAGGCGGACAAGGCGGAAAAGGCGGACGAGGCGGAAAATGCGGACGAGACGGAAGAGACGGACGAGGCAGATGAGGGGTTGCAGCACAAATCCCCATGTCAGCCAAGGATCTTAGTTATCTCACTAAGTACACTGTGGTTCACATCTCTCACGTGCTCCTCGGTCACTTTCTCATATGTCCTAGTAGTGTATATAATCGCTTTCTGTAGCTCTACCAGTACAACAACCTTATTATCCCTTCAAATTCATTTTGTCCTGCACGCAACACATGGCTTCAAACGCGGGTTTCAACAAAGAAACTGGCGGCCTGGAAGTCGCCAAAACTTACTCCTCTCTTCTCGCTGGTAAAACAGTTCTCATCACAGGTGTTTCCCCCGGAGGCATTGGCGAAGCTATCGCTCGTTCATTTGCGCACGGCGGTGCATCCCTCATCATTGCGACCGGTCGCAGCAGAACTCGCGTAGAAGAGACAACTCGGCAAATCGCCACCGAATACCCATCGACGCAGTTCCTCAACGTTGTACTGAACCTTGTCTCACTCCAATCCGTTCGTCAAGCAGCAAACGAGATTCTTGGAGAGAGTCTTGTCAAAGAGATTCACATCGTAGTTACGAATGCCGGCGGCTTATTTAACAGTACTGAGCGCCAGCTCACTATCGATGGCCGGGAGATACATTTCGGCACCAATCACTTAGGCCATTTCCTACTTGTCCAACTGCTGCTTCCAAAGCTGCTTGCCGCCGCTAAGAGGAATCCTTATGGTGCAACGCGCATTGTGGCTATCAGCAGCTTCGCAAGCTATTTTAGCCCATTCCGTTTTAGCGATTACAATTTCGATGGTGATAGGAAGCTCCCTATCGACGAAAAGCCAGATTGGCTTGCCGTTGCGAAATATTTCGATTCCACAGCAGTAGAAACGGACAGATTCAGTCCAATACTTGCGTACGGGCAGAGTAAAACCGCGAATGTTCTGTTCGTAGTACAGCTCAATCGATTGCTATCAAAACAAGGGATATATGCCTTTGCAATCCATCCAGGTGCTGTGTACAGTACAGGAGGGAAACATGGTCTAGCCACTATGCCAGAATCTGTCAGGACCTTGGTCGCAGAAGTCATGACGAAGGATATTGACCAGGGCAGTGCTACAGCACTGGTGGCAGCACTGGATCCCAGCTTATCCCCCGAAAAGGGAGTGTGGTTAAGCGACTGCCAACTTGCCGAGCCAGCTGAATGGGCAGTAAATGAAGAAAAAGCGGAAAGGCTGTGGAAGCTGTCCGAGGAGCTTGTGGAGAAGCTAGGAAATTAGGCCTACGAGATCGTTGTCTCTTTCGGAGAGATAGCATAAATGTCTAAATGATATTTAATTGAGTTGCATACTCGGCACTCAAATCATGATCGGAACACGCTGTGCTCAATTATTGCGCAGCAATCTCGTGGCGGTTAAGCTAATCCTGAAGTGATCTACCACGAACCTCCTTCGTAAATCAAAGCACTGGATCACAAGCCATCTCTAAAGACAGTGGCGGGCCAAAAAGTACACTAACGTATTCCCAAGTTTTGATGTTGCGATCATCTACTCCGTGGAAACGGAAATTAGAGACCACCTACGAGATAGCAGTTCGCTGCATAGCGATAGCCAAACTGCCGTAGATTATGGTCAACAATCGCTTAAAAACATGTATAGAGATCTTTGTAACACTTACTTCTGCCCAATACACGGAAGGGTCCCCTTGGAAAAGATCTGCAGGTAGGCGATCCATCTTGCTAGTATCGTCGACGAGCCATCGACGCGGATCGTTGCGTCGAACGTTTTCATACACTTTGTCGATTGTCCAAAAGTCCAGTCAGTAACGACGTCTAAGGCGAAGCCCCGGAAGGCATCCGAGAGACCTATGGCACCAACACCCCCTTCATGTGCCTGCGTCCATATCCGCATCTGCTCAATCAACTTGGTACTGTATGAGTACAATAGTGATTGGCTCTTCGCAATTTTGGCGTGCGAGAATGACGGATTCAGTAACTTCAAGTGCTTGGCGTGCACGACAGGGTCTAGTTCTGTAAAGATACTATAGGCTGTTGAGCTTTGAAACGCCTTGCAATGGTATCGCGCCTTGACCCAAGGCTCATTGGACCGCGCATAGATAGTTGACGACGCCGAGTTATCGTTGATGAAGACCTCGTTTGGTGAGATACGCACCAGGGGACCTGATGAAGGATCAGCGTGTCATTTCCGCTGTTGCTAGTGCGCAACGGGGGCATACCAAGTTTTCTGTGCAACTCTAGCAACTTGGTGAGTGGGTTACTACCGTAGTCATGCTAAAACAGCCAAAGCCGGTGATTTTGGCGATGAACGGCCCTGGAAGACATTTGAGTAGATGGAATAGAATATTGTAGATGGCACGCGGTGCGAAAAAGCAAGTCATAACGCTCAAGGCTGCCGAGCTACCGGACCAAGTAGTCCACATCTCTGCATCCATATCGATTGAACTGCTTTCAATATTCTGATAAAGAATTTGGAGAGATAAGACCAATGTAGCACTGTAATAAATTTCTGTATTGAATTAATTTCGCACGGTCACTTGCAAATGTGTTAACAGCACCCTTTTTACGCTTTTTGTGTTTGTCAGGTAGAGGCATGTTATCTGTTTAGACTTTTTGCAATTGTGATAGTTAACTCTAATTCGATACTTAAGAATTTATTAGACAATTATACTGCAGATTACTGCAAAGAAAATCCCAGTAGACAGAAAACAACTTATAAGATAGAGCTCTGTGTCGGACAGTGTGCTACCTTTTTGAGGTTATATCGATGATTGTTAGGTCACCGAGTTTTTCGCTGCACAGGGAGAGACGTCGACTAGCTGCTATGTACAATATTCCTCAGAGCACTCTTAGCACCCGACGTGGTACAACACCCGCAAAACGCAATAAGGTTGAGCAGGCAAATCAAGCTGCAAGTGAGCGAAGAAAGCGCAACAAAAAGCGGATCCGCAAGGGAGGGAGCCTATCGCAGAGATGAGGCAGAGGAAATAGTTACAAGGAGAGATGCTGAGACGCAGCTTGAGGTAGAGGGACGTGAGCAGAAGTATGAAGGACATCCGCGTCATAACCTGCTGTGGTGGTAGAAACACGTACAAAAGACTTTTTGTAGCTTTCTTATGAAAGTACTGATGAAGGTGGAGAAAACGTGCGTGAACTTGTTGTATTGGAGCTACGGGAGAAGAGAGAATATCTATGGTGCGCGCACGGAGCAGCTGACTAATCAGTGCCTGGCCAATCAGAGCACGGGAAGCCTGATTCACCGTGAATACTAGTGAAGGCTCTCACCGCGTCTCGACAAGTACCATGCGTCCATACACACAGCACAGACTATACCAGCCCCTTTGCTCTAAAGATACTGTATTCATAGCCGTACTACGTGATTGTCACGTTGTATTGATGAATTGCGGTCTAATGTGTCTTTAAGGCTGCTGGCGGCCTCATCTACTCAGTATTTGTGTCTGAATTGTAGATCACCTTGCGTCCAGTCAGCTTTAGTAATGTTTGGACGTACCCTGGCACCCATAGACCCCAATCCATTGTACATAACACTGATTTTCGCAATAACTCTTCTTGCATCTGCGGAGACGGTTACTATGAGCTCTGGATGTGGTTTTCTTTGGACCGACGATAAAACCAAGCAGCAAATAGTGAACAGTAAATCACGTACATGTTCGAAGTTGGTCCCGACAGCAGATCCTTGATCTCGAGGGGTGTTGTGCCTGCGCGAAACAGGTGTTAGTGTCATCTTGCGAGCACATCTGCGAGTGAAACCTACACTCCAGGTCGACCACCGTCCCACGATAAACGGCCCAAGACATGCATGGGTGGCTTGGCAAGTGAGATGTTAAGTTTGCGACCCATAAAGACATGCTTATTGTATGTAATCAGCAATCCCTGTGCTTGTTCAGCCGTGGCTAGATTCATGTAAAGTGTATATGGCGAAAAAGGACGGTTTGAACGTATTGTCCTTAAATAGATGTGGCGCATACACTCGACATCGAAGGAGTAGAACAGATTGTATATATCCTCTTTTATGATCGTTCCTATCGCACTTCTCCTCTTAGGCATGTTCTCTACACAGATAGAAAGACCTAGAAATATTTTCAAGCAGCTGTTCATGCGTACTACTATATAGCGGAGTCATTTACCTGCTCTCATAGATGCGAAAATCTGACAGAGTATGTTATTAACTGCGCCAATCTTGGATGTAAGCAATTCGTACATTGGTTGGAGGTGACAGATGAGGTACACACAATCACAGATTCTCAAGACCTGGTTTATTTGCCGCATGCCATCCCCAATAGAGTTCAAGATCTTGTCGAATTCTACCTCTTATTTCGTTCGGACCTTTAGCCGGACCGACTCTGATTCTTTTGTAAAACAATGGCGCACCATCGACTTCCTCTGTGGATCGTTGCGCATCTTCAGTCGTGGGCAAAATCGCCCAGAGTTGTTTCCCTAGGTTGTGACCATTGAAAGGATTATACTGCATTATCATGAATTCTGCAGAAAAGCCAAAGTCATCTAGCAATCTCCGAACGTCCTCTTCAATGGCCATTTCGGGCAAGCTCTCGAATTCAATAGTCCTGCCGCTATCCTATGGAAGATAGTAGTTGAGTAGACTTGAAAGGTTATTGAACGGCAACAGTTGATACTCCTTGGTTGGAAAGTAGGTGTGTAGCCCGCGAATTCCTGGAAAGAGGCGACACGCAGTGCGACTGCGTAACAGAGTTGGACTCGGCAGCCGGGCTAAACGATTGTGATGTGGGTCAGGATGTAGTCTTGGAGACGACTGAAGCGCCAGATATCCAAATCTCGTGCGACTGAAAGCCGAGGTGATAGTACCGGTCGACATGACGAATGATGAAGGATGAGTGGGGGAAGGCGGATCTGGAAAGCACACAAACCGAATACATCAGCAAATTCCTCCTCTCCGCCTTAATTCTGTTGTCACCAAGTCAAGTCCTGGAAAACAACTTCTGGTACAAGCCAGGACGTTAAAGTAACATTTGTCATGGTAGTAGTAGGGCCGAGCACTGGCTAGGTAAGTTAGAACGATAGTTAATAGCCCAAGTTAGCCCGGAACTAAGTTAACACTACCCCATGTTCCCTCGTGTCGCTTGCCGTTGAACAAAATTCGCCGCGCTTTTTACTTCGGCTGTTTAGCCTTTCTTCCAGGCTTTACCTTCTGTGCCAAGGGCAAGTCGTGTAGAGTGTACACATAGTGGCTTGATTGACAGACGGGATGAGAATGTGTTTGACCAATTATAAGCCAACATGCCCGCACATGCGCATCGTGCATATGTCGCCTTCCGTTACGGACAAGCACTGCTCTACACACTGTCAATGTAGTAATTTCTATTGGCTACCATCGCCGTCGAGCTCGTACCGAGTGCGCGATGCGTTAGTGGTATCAGGAAGATGTCGTAGTACAGGTAAGAGACACAGAGGGCAGATGTGATTGTAAAATGATGTCCGCGTATCAAAGGACTAATGATGGTATATAAGTAGATTCGGGCTCTAGGATGGGGCTTAGAGTAGGCTACCACAGCTTGCCCACCTTTCTCAGGATGCTCTCCATATTACTCGCAGCGGCTCCACTGATCTCGTTGTCACGAGAGGCAACGAGCAGTAATCTCAGAACTTATGAAGAGGTTTGATTTATGTGCTACGTACAGTACTCAAGTGTAAATACAAGACGTTGTGTGAAGAAAAGAAGTGGAGAGTTCCACCCAAGAAAGATACATAGCGGAAGAAAGCTCGTGTGATGTCATACGGTTGTCGAGGTAGTGGCATACTGTCGAGGATAGTACATTGCACTGTTGCGATAGGAGCGTGCGGATTGGAGACAGGAGCGTACGGGTTAAGAGCAGGAGCGCATGGGTCAGAGGCAGGAGTGTCAAGGGGACCACGGTGGTTACCGTGACACTCGTTCGCTTGTGGGTCATTCGAGGGTAACTTGAACTACCATTCGCCCTCACGTCGGCACCAAGAACTTGGTATTGATGTGCCCAAAGTCGCAAAGAGAAGACTTGTCAAGCGTGCCACTCCATGGGACCCCACACAGCTGAATTTCACACACGGCGTCGCATCTGGGGACCCCCACCCTCGCTCCGTTATTCTCTGGATGCGCATTGCGCCATCATCTAAACACGACAGGTCAAACGTAACAGTTACAGGCAATGTAGCGTTCTACAGCCACGAGACGGAAAAGTACATTAAAGCTTCACCAAGCCCCATTTGCGTCGACTATTGCGTTGGTACTGACAGCAAATTTACGACCGTTGCCGATCATGGTTAAGCATACACTACGTCCGATATTGACTTTACAATCAAGGTAAAAGCCGTTCATTGAGCTGTGTCCAGTCCGCTAACCCTCGAAAGATTGAGGCCAAGAATCTGACACCATTCACCCAATATTACTACCAGTTCAACGTCTGCGGCAGTTCTAACAAGAGTCCGCTCGGCAGAACAAAGACGAGCCCTGATGAATATGATGAGGTGTCGAAGATTGGTCTTGCCATCTTCTCATGCTCTAACAGGCAAAATGGATACTTTAACGCCTACGGAAACGCTGCCAGAAAAAACAATGTAGATTTCTTTGTTAGTTGCAAGACACGCCTGGCCTCAACACCACTGACCGATGTGTATAGGTCCATCTCGGCGACTACATTTACGAGTCTGCCAAAGGCAAGCTGGGACAAGATCCAAGGGCGACAAATCCTTCAAGGGAGATAGTCACTCTCTACGGTTCGTGGTACTCAGTTGAACATGGATGACAGAGATTAACACGCATACAAGATTACCGAACTAGAATCGGACAATATCGCAGCGACCCCGACCTTCGGCTCGCACACCAAGGTTTTGCATGGATCCCAACCTGGGATGATCATGGTACGCCAAGGCACATTTTTGGGATCCACACTAGATTGACACACCCATAGAGGTTGCAAACAATGGATATTGTGATGGCTTTAGGTAACAAGTTCTGGTGTCTTGCAATAACCCCTCTAACCACTACAGCAATATGAACAACACCAAACAGAGCTTCTTGAATTATCGCGGTATCAGTGTCGACTCGAGAAAAATGAACGCTGTCCGAGCCTACTTTGAATGGATGCCGTGAGTATCTCAACTGCATTGAGCCCTGAATATGCTGATATGCAGCGCAGCATTCGTCAAGTCGACATGGACGACAACCTTCGCATCTGGCGTAACTTCAAGATGGGCAAGCTCTTCGACCTCATCATGCTCGATACACGCAACTAAAACCGCTCAATCACGACGCTTGACTGGAACGATGATTACATCGAGGATCTCAAGGACAATGCTAGTCGCTCGTTGATGGTAGCCTCCAAGAGGATTGGTTCTACAACCAGCTCTCCAAGTCCCAGGAGCGCGGCGCTACATGGAGAATCATCGGTAATCAAATCATCTTCTCCCGCATGAACAACAGCGCCGTCTACAGCAACTGGTTGAATGCTGATCAGTGGGATGTGAGTTTCGCAATCAGTACGCGAGTGGAACCATCACTGACATCAAGGGCTACACGGCGAATCGCAACCGCACCTTGCATCACCTCTACAGCAACAACATTCGCAACACCGCATTTCTAGCCGGTGATTTGCACGCCAACTGGGTGTCCGATCTGGTTTGGCTTGAAGAAACTCCTTACGATCAAACTACGGGTGCTGGCGCCGTCGGCGTTGAGTTCGCTGGCACTGCCGTCTCCTCTAGCGGCTATGGCGCAGGCAGATCCATTGCGAATTCGAGTGATCGTTGAGCAGCACTTTTGCGCGATAACAGGGAGCTTCAGTGGACGGAAGGGTACTACAGAGGTTATTATGAACTGTATATCGTGGTAGATGTAACAGTACAAGCAGTGAGAGAAAGTTGCTATGCATTTTCTGATGTCTTGTTCTGTTCTGCTGTGGTGATGGCCTTTTATGGGGCCATCATACTAGTCTGTTTACATGACGTATCTGTGACATGGATAGGTGTAGAAGGTGCTTATCAGTAAGAGGAAGAACCATCCCGCCAACACGTGGCACCTAGGATGTCCTTACCCCATGAACCGTCACAGTAGAGGGATAGCCTCAATAGTCAGAAGAGAGGCTGCCGACCCGCAATCGGTAGAGAGTAGAGAACAAGAAGGTATCCGAACAATAGACGGTAGTATTAAGAATGGTGTACGATAAGATGATCCGATGATGTCGAGCTTCTCCTCGCGGAGTTGCCCTAAAATACCCAACCCTAGCGCCAATTACCTAACGCCGAACACGTGACAAGCTACTACACCACAATATATCTCCCGAGGAGCTGAACGCCCAGTACTTTGGTAAGTCGCTATATAATTCCTTTAGCAGTCTTCTTTTGTACTAGACTGACCTTTTTCAGGCTCTCCTTCAGTGGCTTCTCGCAATCCTTTCGATGTTAGCCCTGCGAACTTCACGGTCAAGGCTGGTGCGAATCACCTGCAGAGGTCGAATGGGACGGTTGTTGCGACGGATGGTCACGTCGAGAGTGGTGCGCTTCAGCGTGGTCCAACGATGCCTACGAATACGACCCTTAATACGGCTACTGGGGAATGGGATGTTACTGGGTTCGAGAAGATGTTTGTTACTTATGCTTGAATCTGTGGATGGGAAACCGCTACGGTGTGGTAGACGCCGGGTAGCTAGGATGACACGACCCAATTTGACATGAAGGCCTACCTATTTCCATGTGCCTAGATTCATTTTAGTCTTTGCCAAATCCAGAACGTTTTAAGCCGTGTAAGGTAGTCATCGTGACTTCATATGCACGAGTTGGTGTTCCCACCTGCCCCGCTCAAAGCGAGTCATGACGCACGCCTTCCTGTAGAACCCTAACAAAGGCCGGCGCTGCATCAGACCACTCCAGCACCCCATAGAAAAGTAAAAAAGAACACCAACTCAAGCATCGCAATGGCGTCCACGATGAAAGCATGGCAGTATAACAGCACAAAAGGCGGCATCGAGAAAAACCTGCAACTCAACGATGCTGCACCGCAACCCACCATCTTCGACGAACAGATCCTCGTTGAAGTCCATGCCATGGCCCTCAATCCAGTTGACCATAAAGTCACCGAAGGTCCTCTGCCACTACGTCTCATAGGTACCAACATCACCCCCGGCGCTGACTTTTGTGGTAAAGTAGCCAAGGTGGGAAAGAAGGTGGACTCATTTCAGATTGGCGAGTTTGTGTTTGGCGCAAAAGTTGGTGCGCTGACGGGCGGAACGCTGGCGCAGTATGTGGCTGTGGAGAAGAACATGTTGACGCGATTGCCCGAGGGGGTAAAGGTGGAGGATGCGGCCGGTGTGGGGGTTGTGGGGTTGACTGAGTAAGTTGGCGAGAAAAGATCAGAGATCGATCTATGATGTGGTTTGGCTGATTACGTTTAGGTATCAAGCACTTGTGCCCAACGTTAAGAGCGGCGATAAAGTCTTCATCAATGGTGGTTCGGGTGGTACTGGCGTCTACGGCATTCAAATCGCAAAGGCCCTGGGTTGCCACGTTACGACTACTTGCTCAACGCCCAACGTCGACTTCTGCAAGAGCTTAGGCGCTGACGAGGTCATCGACTACAAGACTAATGATGTTGTCGAGACGCTTTCTGCCAAAGGCCAGATCTTCAGCCTTGTGGTGGACAACATCGGCACACCTGCTAACCTCTACAAAGCCGCATCGGCGTTCCTACTATCAACCGGAAAGTTCGTTCAGATCGGCTCGACGCTGAGCCTCGGAAGCATCAAAACCGTCGGCGGAAACATGCTGCTCCCAAAATTTCTCGGCGGAGGCAAGAATAGCTATCAGATGTTGATGACGAAGCCGTCGGCGGATGCACTAGGACAGCTTGCTGAGTGGTTCAAGGAGGGCAAGTTGAAGGGAGTCGTGGACACTGTGTTTGATTGGGAGGATGCACCCAAGGCATTTGAGAAGTTGAAGACTGGTAGGGCGAAGGGTAAGGTCGTGGTTAGGGTGCCACAGGACAAGGCCAAAGAGAAGGCTGCTGATGAGAGTGCTTAGGGAGTTAGTGATATTCCATTTCTGTGAATAAGTTGATATCCGAAGGTATGAAGTATCTAATGACTCTCTTCATTGTAATGAAAACACGCTGCTCTTGTTCAGCAAGAGATAGTGGCCTGATGTTTTTCCATACTTCCCATGAAACATCTCTTATGCTGGAAAGCACTCTTCATCAATGTCATATTCTCATCAAAACTTGGTTGATCGAAGGAGACTTCGTGGTGGTGAGGGATCGATTAGGGTAATGGTTGACTGTCAATCAGCTAGGATTACGACTAGACCACGTCAAATGTCGCATGTTTGAGGCAAGCGTGGGGATGAAACAAGTAGTGCAACAGCCGCGCCCCAGTCGTTCCTTGGCGACATCCTTGAACTTCGAGTTCCATCGCGTCTTCTTCTTCAACCTTTCCTTTGTTCTCTAAAAATTAATTAATGCAAATGTCACCACCATGACATTCACACAGCGAATCGTTCTCGTCGCGTCCTCGGTATCCCTCCTCCTCCTGATCGCCTTGTCGCTAGCAACCTCCATCGAAGTCCGGGGTGCATCAATACCAATCATACAAATCAGTCTCGCGCAGGCCGCAAGACTTCCACAAAACGATGATCTAGTCGCGCAAAAAGGGTTGTTGAATGGGACGGATTTCGATCGCACGGATGTGTTCAATGGCACCAATGTCGTAGACGGAGTGACGCTGGAAACCTCATCCACAATGGATAGCGCAGAGGGCATGATTGGCTCTACGCCGCAACCAAAATCGAGCGCAGGCTGGGCTGATGAAGGTGTCCTGGGACCCAAACCTACCCCTAAACCTTCCGCGAAACCTCAACCTCCATCTGACGCGCAGATACCAATCGTTGCTCTCACCTACTCAGGCGCGGGCGGTCCGAAGCATTGTCGCGGCGAGCTGTTAGCGAAAACTTTTCTTCCGCGTCCGGTTGAAAAATGGAAGAATGGCACTTGCATCAATCTCCCGAGCGAAGCGCGGTGTGGTGTATTTTTTTCAAGCAAAGGCGACAATTGCGAAGCGGCATTATTCAATATGCCTGACTGCTATAATACGACGCGGACGTATGTGAATACGGTTGTGTTTATGCCAGAAGAGCGCGCAGTTGGAGCGCTTTGGAGCAGCATGTTCTTGCGATGTGGTATTGACGTACCGGAAGCCAAGATGTTGGATCCAGCTATCCTGGGTGGAGCGTTGAAGCCTAAACCGAAGCCCGGTGGTGGATGAGAGGGAAAGTCGAAGGATCGAAGAAAGACTGAATGCAGCGTCTATGTGATGCTAATCAGAATTGTCGTTGGTAGTGGATGCATGGCCTTTCATCCTGCTCCATCTCATCAGGTTCAGTGGCCTCGTACTCGCTCCCGTCCTCGCTCTCATCCTCGTCACTGGTATCACCGCCTTCAACATCAAAATCCCAATCAGGTCTTCGCAAGAAGGTGCTCTCCCGATTACCTTGCCGAACGTGTACCGTATCCGCGATCGAACAAAGACCAGGGACCACATCCCAGCCAGTCTCAACGCGTCCTCACGCCTGTCGCGCGGACTGCCTACCAACGAATCTGCTCCATCACTGAACTCAAGTTCTCGAATTCGGAAGTTTTCTGAAAACTCATCCAGCGGAGGCGATCTATCGTCATGCTTACGAGCCAGTCGGATTTCCGTTTACCGCAGCGCAAAAAGTTTGAGCGGGGTGTTTCTGTACCTGAACGGCGAAACGTGGTAGTAGAGCTGTTCGACATCAAAACACTGGAGGAGTAACTGGTGAGGATGAGCTCTTCGGGTTCAGCGCTTGCTAACAGCTCCAGCGCCGGCTGATCGGCGATTTCGTAATGCGTGTAGGGATGGAGATGTAGAAGCGGCGAGGACTTCAGGTGTGGCATGGTCGTCGCACTACAATCAGAAAAGCCGTAGCTAGGAAACAATTCCATGTCAATTTTTTGATGTTGGAGATGAGAGTACGGAAATCTTGAAGTAGCAAGATTGGGAAGCGAGTGTGCAATTCATGGGAGATATCGTATACAAGACTCCTTGCATTGTAGCTCCACAACGAAAGACTGTATCTTCTGCGCAATAGAATTCGCTTCCAGAGAGTTCTTGACGCACTATATTCGAATCACTTAATATTATCCTAATGTTTGTGCGAACTAGATAATCAATGGCCATATCTATTACATATTCCTTGTATGAATGGTCGGGATGCACCTGGCCCGTTGAAGCTGGGACACAAGACTGGAAATCTGCGTTAGCCTGTCCGATAAGTGACATGCCACCCAATATTGCCTCTGCTCCTGTAGTTCAACATAATCTATATCAGGCCCGTGGGGGGATGGCGCAGTGGTAGTGCGCCTGGTTGCTTCTGCTAGCTTGCTCGCAGAGGTTGAAGGTTCGAATCCTTCTCCCCTCACCGCTATAATAATTCTATTATTCTAGCTTTACCAAAAAACATCGAACGGCTCCTTTCGAAACCTGGAAAGTTTTTCACCAATACCCCGCACGCTTAACGCTAGCCGCCGCCGTACAACCGAGCCACAAAGTACCGCCGAGACGAAAATATGCCGCAACTGCCGCTATATACAACAAACGTTCAAGGTCCCATGACTTTTTCCCCTACGAGGTTTTTTTCAGTCTTAGGAGCACGGGGTTATTATAGCAAAGGGATTGGTCACAAAGGTGGAGATAAACGGGTGTCTATTACAAGGTCTCTCTCTCTTTCCTGTATAGAAGCAAAAAACCCAAACCCCCATAGTCAAACTCGACCAAAGAAACGAAATCCTACGGGTATAGAGGGAAAAAACTAGTCAAACGGCCCTAGGCCACCGTCCTACATAGTCTCTGACTGAAAAAGGACGTTAATGGATACTACTACTACTACTACTATTAGACTCCGCAACAATCAATTCAATCCGGTCACTCTCCTAGACCCACTTACCTATCTAGGTAGGGCTTAAACTCCTATAGGTAACTACTAGGCTTAAAGCGGTAATCAATCAATCCAATCTGAACCTTCTAGGACCCACTTAATTGATTGTTGCGGACTGTGACTACTATATCAGGCCCGTCGATCGTAAGCTGTGGCAGCAAATTGGACGCCTGGATAGTGAATGGGTGGCGAGGCTTTTGAACACTAGCCGGCCCACTTCATCTGCTAGTTGCGCTTTTGGTCCCAAAATCGAAAGATGACATATTGAATTGGGAATTTTGAACAACGTCAAGGTGTCTTGACAGTGCGAGGTGGGGTTTGACGGCTGTACGTATGTAAGCTGCCCAGGTGCGGGCCGTGTCCGCGCGCTAATCTAGGGCTTAATGACTTGGGGACACCTGCAGATCCAAGCGCACTTCTCTGTGGATACCGAATGTTCATTACCCATGGACTTTATGATTGTCAGTGGAATATTTGCGAAATCTGATCCCCGCCCGGTGTTGAGACAGCGGTGTAGTTTGTCCTTTACTTGTGTTTCTAGTATCTTGTCTACCAAGAGAATACAGAGCTGGAGCTTTAGGGTACCTTGAGCCATGGATACAAGGGGGCAGTACAATACGCATGTGTGCTCGCCTGTTCACGATGGACCCAGACGATGTGTGGGCAGCGATCATGATCTGAAGGTGTGGAGAGACATAATGGAACGCGCATTGAGGCACAGCCACAGTGATAGTCCATGATCTGCAGCCATGAGGGCTGTCGGAAGGCTAGTCGATAAACATATACTTATGTGACTGTTAAAGCTTGTTGTGGCGAGGATATTTTTGGATTAGTCTTTGCTACTAGTCTCGATTGGGTCTAGTGATAGCCGTGGAGCCGCCCCCGCACAGCAGTTAGGCGTCCGTAAACAGTCTCAGTCTAAAGAATCCTTCGAGGTAGAGATCAACATCGCAGGTGATTCAAATGTTCGCCACAAGCTATGTGACTAAATTTACTCTGCGCTCATCGTCCCCTGCAAGCTCTCGTGGCCAGCATCGGCATGGAACCGCTACGCCCACCTGCATCATACACCAACATCCGATAATGAAGACAACTACTAGCTTGTTTGAACGAGAACCAGGCGTAAACTCCCATTTCTTACATGTGGCTCTGTTACTTATTCTCGTTTGTACACATGGACATCCCGTGTTTTTCATGCGAAAACAGCCTCGCTGTTTGGCACTGCCATCAAGGCCACCCGCCGATCTGTAAGATGCTGTTGCCTAATCTCAACAAGGAAAGACACGCGCATTGCAACATGTATTTATCTCCTGGCCATGAATTGTAATTTCGAATTGCCCATATCCGAATTTCGTTGCTTATTACTTCACGACCAATTATTCCAATTCCAGACTTTCAATCACGCAGAAAAATTTACCACAATGGCAGGACCAGTCCTAAACCTCGGCATTTTCAAGAAATCAAAAAATCACACGCTACGCGCGATTTCTCTCGCTATCTTTCCGCCTGGCTTCATTCTCCTCTTCATTCAAGGTATCGGCTCGGGAGATGTTAATCCCGCCATTGGCATCATCCCATTCTTCTTCTCGGCGGCTTATTCAGCGCTCCTTCTTGCAAATGAAAAGAAGTGTGGATGCCAGGCTAGTGGGCTTACAGGTACTCCCGTACATCTAGTTTTCGACGTACTACTAGCGGCTGCACTTATCGTATGCCTAATCTTGTAAGCAACTAGCATTTGAACGCGTTTTGAGGATTAACGCTCACAATTTTTTCACAGGGACTGGGTAAATATGACTATACGTTCTGATTGCGATGACAGCATGATCATGTTGGGCACTTACGGCACGAACTTTCTTATTTGCAATTTGTATATTCTTTACTCCCTTTCACATCCGAATCTTGCTAATTTGTGCAGCCTCATTCATGTATATTTTGTTGTAAACCAGTTACTGGATGCATTACAGCCCGGACCGGCATATCCCATCTCGTGCCCGCAGTGCCAAAACGGGTCCTTCTCAGTCGGAAACATCAAAATTGGCACAAAGTTCCAAGAATATGCACCCTTGTTGGACCGAGCGGGTGAGCCAAGAAACAGCGTGGAAGAGCCGACTGCGGATGATGGCGGCTCTATGGTCTAAAAGTACAGTGGCGAGCTGGTTTGGAGCCTGAGTGGGAGCCGAGCCCAAAAAATCCACATCTCCGTGGGCAACATCATCATTTGGCGGCGTTTGGTTCTTTTCCACATATATTCGTTTACAGAAATTTAGATATCCGGAGTTACTAGACTGCAAATTTAATTCTATATTCTCGTTTGCCAACAGTAATCCATGCTTCGGCAGATGAGTGGTATGTCACACATAGTTAAAGAGAAAGCAGTGATGACAGCCCGTATATAAAGCCTGCGTTGCTTCGAAAGACCATAAAATCACTCCACCGAATGTTCATCTTTCGGAGTAGTGCGGCGTTTCACCACATCGGCTAAGACTTCGCTCGGCAATGGCTCCTCAGTATCGAGAACTCTCAGCCTGGTTACAACGGCGTGGTCGGTATCAATACCCGAAAGAAGTTGCCAAGCCTGGAAGGCCTCTTCTGTTGTTATGTCTGCGATGCCTGCAGCATGTAACTCAGGATTGATGAGAGCTGTATTTGACGCTGTTGCGGTGGAGTGAACAGTGCGCATGTGCGGAGAATTGAAGGATTGAACTGAGGTTGTATTGTACAAGCTATGGAAAGTTTATGTAGATGGGTGACGTCAACCGTGCTAGTCCCAAATAGGCATCGTTCCATTACAAATGTGAGTTGCGACTGCAGGAGAGACCCCAAACCGTGACACACCCCCCAGCTGGCGTAGACGCGCAGGCAGGGAGTCAACGACAGCTGAACAGGATCAGTGTATATAGATGCCGTCGAGGTCGTCTCCATTAGCTTGACGTAGTCCCCTCAGGCGCTCAGTGATATCCACGAGGCCAAGTTGGCGGACAAACTCCATAAATTTCTGCTTTGGTAGTACCTTCGTGAGTCCATCAGCAGGCATATGATCAGTAGGTACCCATTTGACGTTAATGCGTGAGGCGGTGACCTCCTGTCGAATCCAGAGCTGGTGGATGTCGACGTGCTTGATCTTTGTATGAAGCTTATCATGCTCCTTCGTGACAATACCAACAGTCTGCTGGTTGTCGCACCAGATGGTAGGCGTGCAGTCGAGCGTAAGGTCAATACCAGCGAAGAAGCGCATCCACTCCTCCATCTGCGAGGCTGCGAGGGAAAGTGAGAGCAGTTCAGATTCTGTGGTTGATTTTGTGACTGTGCGCTGGACAGTAGATTTCCAGTCGATCATAAGTCCTCCAAACTTGAATGCGTACCCCTGAGAGCTGCGGCGCGTCTCAGGCTCGTCAGCATACGAGGCGTCGGATGATCCAAAGAAGAGAGGATCGCGATACGTCGGATCGTCGGAGAGATACTCAGCCATGTCTTGCGCGCTAGCAGAGGCTTCAAGAGCGAGAGCCTTCGTGCTGAGCAGGTAGCGCCAGGTCTGGCGGATCTTCGAGACGTGAGACTGTCCTGGGTTGGTGAGGTGGCAGGCGAAGACGACGTGCGTTCGAGCGACGTCAGGTCTACCCCAGACAGCAATATATGCAAGGGAACCAACAAGCTGCTGGTAGAGTTTCGTACGAGCAGTATCAGTCTCCTCAGTAGACTGTGGCATCCAGTTCTCCGTCAGCGGGACGTCTGGAGCCTTGCCCACAGCCTCGATGCTAAATCGAGCGCACACCTTGTCGATGAAAGCGTCTTGGACTAGCCAGGTTTTGTGCAGAGCTCGATCGCGGACGATGCGAATACCGAGAAACCAGGTAAGGTCCCCCATCGCTTTGATGTTGTATAGGTCTACCAGATCCTTCTCGAAGGACCGGTGGTGATAGGCGTTTGATCGATGAAACGCCATAACAATGTCGTCAACGTAGACGAATAGGATAAGCCAGCGGCTCGTGTACAAGCAAGGAAAGCCTTCGACTGGCTTTAGACCTAGCTTGACAAGCTGTCGACGTAGCTCATTGTACCATAAGATTGGTGCCTCCTTCAGGCCGTAGAGGGCGCGGAGCACCAGCATGATCTCGCCTTCAATATGGCGGAAGGCCTTAGGTGTTTCAGCGTATAGCTTGCGGTTAGTCTTTGCGTTTAAGAAGGCAGTAGGGACGTCATACTGCTTCAATTCGAGATCGAAGTAATTAGCGATTGCGATAAGAGCGCGAAAGTTGCGGATAGCGAGTGTAGCAGCGTACGTATCGTCTATCGGAGCTTGGAGGTCTCCTCGGACAACGAGTCGAGCCTTAAACCTTGAGAGATATCCATCTCCATCCGTCTTGTACGAGAAGACCCACATCAGCGGCAGGATCTCACTATCTGCGGTGGCCTTTGATTGCTCTGTGTGTCCAAAGACGCCTTTGGCACGTAGATCTCGCCATTCAATCTCTATAGCGTGTCGAAATTGATCGCCAAACATGTGTGTATTAAGCTGGTTTTCTGACTTCGGTAGAGGCGGCAGCTGTGATTGATGGATCCGTGGTACTTTGTCTGCGCTGGCGGAGGCCCTGTCGCAGAGAATCTCGGTTGAGAAAGCTCGCAGGTAATCGACTAGAGGCTCAGGTCCTAGCCTCTCAGCGTAGACCTGTACAGCAAAGTTATTCAGATCTCTTAGCTTTCGACTTCGCTTGCCAGAGACAATAAGATTCGTGTCGGTTGGGTTAAGATTAACGTCTTGTGGCGCTTTCTCGCCTCGCAGGCGATAGCCCTTAGGAATTACATGTATTGTGTCCTCCTTAGGTTGATTTGATTTGAGTGCGTCGTCAGCCATCTCACCCCCCACCTGGGAGCCTCCAGCCGTCGGAGCTGAGGTCACAGGTGCTGTTTGGCGACTGTGCTGACGCTGACGAGCGGTCAACAGGTCCTCGATGCTGATATCGTCGTCTTGAGGCATCTCTGGATACTCAAGTAGCTCGATCACCTCCTCGATCACTAGCGTAGAGGCGTAGCCGTCTATCCCATCAAAGAAGAGCGTGGGTTCGAATGTGACGTCGCGTGTGACGATAACAGTATCCTTTGTAGGAAGCCATATGCGGAAGATATTGGTGCCTTGGTAGCCAACAAGGTGGCCGATGAGAGTGCGCGATTCAAGCTTGTCGGCAGCTCTCAGATCGCGGTTGTAGACGTAGGCGCGACAGCCGATAGGCCTCATATGAGCGACGAGTGGCTTTCGTCCCCATACGATCTCGTACGGTGTCTTCCATCCTAGTGCTTCGGTAGGTGTGCGGTTAAGGATGTATGCGGCAGTGCGATACATCTCATGCGATAGATTCTTGGGCAGGTGAGCGTGTATACGCATAGCGCGAGCTCGCTGAGTGAGGACTCCGCCTGCGCGCTCAGTAAGTCCATTCGGCTCCTTTGTACCAGGTGGAGCAGGCTCGTAGAGCATTCCAAGCTCTTCTGTCGTGTTGATCAGATCATTTCCAAATCCTTTCTCGTTGTCGCATCGGATGGCGACTACGTCCGCGTCGTACACGCGCTGAATTCGGCGGATTAAGGCCATAAACCAACGAGTAAGTGTCGGCTTGTCCTTTCGCTTGATTGTGGCTATCTCATGCCACTTTGAGTACTCATCTATAGAGTGTGCGGCGTACTTGCTGCCGTCGATACACTCCTCTCCCATAGGGATGATGTAGATCAAGTCTATCGCGATTCGATAGAATGGTCGTTGTGCGCGGCTCTCAGCCGGGCGTCTCGAGATGATGTGAGTCATCCGAGCTTCGGTGCAGGTCTGGCAGAGACAGTCCATGTGGTCTCCTGTCAATTGGATACCAGTGACGTTCGATTCGAGCTGGTTGACTGCCTTTCGACCTGGGTGGCCCCAAATCTGATGAGCAGCGCGCCGATCAACGACGTTGGCAGGCTTTGGCGCGTACGACGGGCGATATGATGTCCCAAACGTACTCAGCGGTGAGTGGAGAAGCGACAGTGGTGGTCGGCGTGATGGCTCTGCATCAATAAGCCAATGTCCTCCATTATATTCGAGTTGCGCGATAACGTTCGATGGTTGGCGCATGTATAGGACGTCGCGGCCAGAGTCGAAGTGGATTGACTCTGATCGGCAGCGAGCCAGTCCTAAGACGCTGGTCAGGAAACCTTCGACGTACGCGACGTGCGTCAGCTCTAGCGTTAGCTGTCCATTTGGTGTATGAGCGACGAGTTTCATCGTGCCCCAAGCTGTGATGAGAATACAGCTATTGCCAGCGTTGACAGAGCGGCGTTCTGGATTATCGCTCGTCCTCCTCCAGCCCTTCCATGCCTCTGTGTTGACGACGTGCGTGTTGGATCCTGGATCGACAATCCATCGGTTGCGTAGTTCAGTCTGAGTAGTGTCATCGACAGCCATTGTTGTGAGGGCTTCCACAGGCTCAGTGCGAGCGTCAATTGCAATGACAACCTCATTATTATGGCAGACGCGGTTGTGACTGTCGTGGCCGTCGTGAAGAGGCTTGAGCATTGGGCCAGTCGATATCACGAACGTGTCTGTGTTGGCAGGTGGCTCGCCGTCATCGACTCGCAGTGATCCATTGCTCTGAGGTTGGCGGGTCAACCACCTCTCAAGAGCAGCCTTGATGCGCGCATTGATTTTGGAGTCCTTCCGCGCTTCCTCAACCTTGCGTACAGCCTCAGCTGCAGGTTGATAGGTCTTTGGACGTGCCGGGTGGCGTGGATTCAGTATGAAGCAGTCAGTGTACCAATGCTGCTTCCCGCAGACGCAGGTAGGTGTTGGCCGTGCGCCGTCACGGTGAGCGCCATCACGGTGACCTCGACTAGTTGATGGAGTCTCAGTCGGCTTCGTGATTCCGAGCTCAGCAGCAGAGACTGCCAGGCCAGTAGAGTGAGGCTTTGTGCGGCGTAGGTATGTGGTCATCTCGGCGACGTACGTCTCAAGAGATGAGATCTCTGCAGTGGTGCCTCGTGCTTCATGTTTGAAGATCTCGCGTAGGCAGGATGTGGCGTACTCTTGATCGAGTGCCTTGCAAGCGATCAGAAAGTCCTCTTGCGGTCGGTTGCCGTCAGTCTCTGGTAGACTAACCGTCTTGCCCTGAGCGGTAATGTATGTCCAGTCGGCCAGCCATTGCTCGACCTTCTTCGTGGCTCGTGGAGCAGTCTTGAGAGCGTTGTATTTGTCGGCAAGCTCGCGGCGGCGAGTTGCGTCGGTTGGGCAAAGGAACTTCTTGAGAGCGACCAGCCGGTCGTAGGGTGTCTCGTGATCCTTGATTAGATGTATGTGGCGTACAGCAATCGTCTTGCTGATGTCCGTGTTCAGGTCGGCCAGAGCCTTCTTCTGGGTGCGGTACTCGGAGCGGCGGCGCTCCCATCGATCGCATTCCCATCGGTAGGACTCTCGGTCGTCTGCGGTCAGGTCAGAGAGCCTAGTAGCTCCAGCCTGGTAGTCAATGAGTTGAGGCTCAGGAGCCTCCGCTAGCTCAGGGAGAAGCTCCCTAGCTACGTCAGGATTGATGTACTGCCAGAGACCGTGGCGGTTGGCAACGTCTCGGCGAATGAACAACCAGGTAAACCAGTCGTCCGGTGTGTTGAGAATGACAGTGACACGCGTCACAGCTGGGTCGGACTCAGTAGCCATTGCAGAGGCTGTAGTCGTGTGTGTAAGGATCAAGGCAGAGATCCAGGCAATGTGCGTCGTGGGTGAACGCGGTAACAGGTGCGTTGTGGCGAACGCGGTATAGCAACGTGCGACTCGAGCAGAGTGACGATTGCAGCAGCAGGTGAGAACAATCCTAGGTTGCAGCCGGGCTCATAACTGTTGCGGTGGAGTGAACAGTGCGCATGTGCGGAGAATTGAAGGATTGAACTGAGGTTGTATTGTACAAGCTATGGAAAGTTTATGTAGATGGGTGACGTCAACCGTGCTAGTCCCAAATAGGCATCGTTCCATTACAAATGTGAGTTGCGACTGCAGGAGAGACCCCAAACCGTGACAGACGCTCGCCATGCTGTCGATTGTATAGCGACAGTGTTGCAATATTGTTTCCGTCGATGGATAGCTAGTCCGTCGAGAAAGGTGTTTGATGCGGCACTTGCAGACTGGCCCGGCGTTCCAATGACCTGATTGATCGATGAGAAGAGTATGAGGAAGTCAAGCGTCCCTGGTGGGAAAGTCTCATGCAGGTTCAGAGCCCTTGTGATCTTTGGAGCCATGACGGTAGCATAGGTGTCAGAAGTGGTGTCTTTGATGTATCCATGCTCCGGTACGGCGGCAGCATGAACAACCCCTAACACTGGAGGGAGTGACAGTTGCTCAATTGCGCTTGTCAATTTAGATGATGCTCCCGGAAGGCCAATGTCAAGTGCTAGGGCATGTATTGTCGCACCACGATCTTCTAGCAGCTTGATACGCTCGATGATTGAAGACATCGGTCCGAAAACGGAAGGCCACTCCTTTCGAGGCGGCAGAGTGTGACGCGATACTACAACGATCCTTTGAGCACCTCTTTCGACCAAGAACTGAAGTACCTCAAGATCTAGCTTCTCAAAGCTACCAGTGACTAAGTACGTTCCACCAGGCCGGGGTAGAAGACTTTTCCCGGGTTTTTTGGCCTTTTCGCTCGCAGAGAACTGCCTCAGCCGCGCAACCTGTGGGACCCCATTCTGTACGCGAACTACGCCTTGCATGCGCACATCTCTGATGGAAGATAGAGGAAGAGCTGCTCCTTCATTGTCGATCAAACCACCCCAGGTATCCGAGTGTTCTGATGCAGCGGCGCGTGCGAAGCCGTATAGAGAGTATCGCGCTACATGATCAAGACATTGACCTTTGTAACTGCTCTCCAACACAACAAACAGCTTCGGTCTGCTAGGGATTTTCGACATGATAGATAAAATGCTGGCCACTTGCCAAACCAAAGTTTCTGCTGGCTACGTCCCCGTTCTTCTCGGCTTTTGCAGGGGCGTAGATCACCACCGCGTCGTCCTGAGCCAAGGTACTCACTACAGTATAGTCTTTGATTTCCTTGGACGTAGATATCGTAAGAACTCGATGAGCCAGGGGTTTCAGGTCCTTGACATAGTTTTCCAAAATTGAAGTGTCGGCTGATATAACTACCGCGCTTCTCATTGGTAGCGGCGTCTCTGAGAGAGGAGCGGCAAACCAGGCTAGTCGGTACATGAGAGAGTCTATGAGACCTTCAGCGGTGCCACAAGAGAGGCCTGCTGTCGTTAAATCGTCTGAACTGGCCTTTCATGTTGAGTTAGATGCTATTCTGAGTAACACGGTGAAGGTAATTGCACACTTACTGAGCTAGGCTGCTGCTCTTTTCCACTGCATACTCCGGGATCATGTTCATCCATTCCGTCCATTTTTCTCGTCGGGATTTTTGAGTAAGATGTCACAATTGAGTCAATTGCAATATCGATACGTTGAGAAATTAAGGCCAGCGTCTACATAGTTAAGAGGTCTCCGAAGCCGGTCAACCAACACCTGATTGAATTTGATTCCAAAACCTGTAATCGGGAGGATTTTGCCGCCATGATTCCATTGGAAAGCTTGAGGTGTTCAGGACTGGGTGTCAGTAGTAACATGATTCAGGAAGTTCTTGAGCGACGATCCATCGCACTTGCGCTTATACGGTAAAGTGTTGCTTAATCTGGTTGAGGTTGCATGTAGAACCATGACCGGACCAGCAGAACATCCAACCAATTAGAAACCGCGTAGATACTGCGAGTTAGAAGGAGCAGATTGGTGGAAACTTTCTGTTTCTTTTGAGTACTGTGCATCGCAAGACGAAGGGATCTCGCCCTTGAGGTATGCACATCAGCCACTGCAGCTCTTGGCAAGACCCGCATTGGTAAAATCCTCCGAAACAATCCCTTGACAACGTCATACCAGAGATTTTGGAACAAAGAAACAAGCAATAGCCGCAGTGAATCTATATGGAAGAATTCAAATGGTCTCGCACTCGCGTTCGCTACCTGCCGAACGCCCAATCGGAAGGTTGCAGCTCATGCATATACAGGGGCGCCCTTCAACGGGCGTTCATGAGGTACCTACTCACCATCTCTGGGCCAATAATGGTTTCCAGGTAAACATTGCTGCCAAGGTAAAGTCTACGTTCTATCCATGCAGATTATCGACGAAGGGTCGTCCTTTCATGGCAAGAGCATGGGCTGGCTCCGCGGATGATCTGGCATGCTCGCTCTCGAACCTAGGTGAATTGGAATAAGTGTTGTTATACACCATATAGAAGCTATAGAGCACAAAAATACTTCTATATTGTATAGTATAATAGATAAACATAGGGGCCCGAGGAGAGAGTATATTAGTGCTGGATAATTGCATTCTCCGAGTAAAAAAGAACAGTGATAGACACAAACTTGAGTTGTGATGAAAAGATACTTATACATTGGGTACATAAGCATTGATTTAGATCTAGGTATATATATCGATGTATGAAGAAAATGAGGACTTTAAGACTGGCGTATAATATCTGGAAAGAAGAAGGAAAAGAGGGCCTAATAGGTATATTCTCACTAGATTTAGAATTTAGTACTTGCCTCCTATTTACCAAGGGCGTAGTATACCAACGCGTATAGCGAAGGGATGTATCACGGCAGTCCATCTGTCTGCCATTAGTGTGGCTTAAGTGCCGTATATAATAGGGTACCTTCTTCGCAATCTATGTCCTTCTGTATCAGACATTCAGATACTCGCAGAGTATTCAACTGATATACACCCAGTCACAAACAGCAGCCATCATGAAGCTCGTCAACCTGATTACTACCACCTTCTCCCTCCTTGCTGTTTCCCAGCCGCTTGCAAGCCCCAATTCGAAGCCAAGCGATATCATGATCGGCTTAAGCTTGGATCAGTGTTCTATCGACACCCCTTTGCCAAAGTAAGTCTTTTCCACTAGCGCATCCTCTCCAGCATAAGCTCCACCATAACCAGGGCAATAAACTATTTGTACTTCAATCCTAACACCTACAGTCTGGTGGCTCAGCAGGCTACAGCTCGGGAAGTCATCCGAGCCTACAATGTTTGGGACATCGAAGCCATCTTGGCTTATCGAACCCCTGATTGCAAGCATCAAGTGCTGCCTCTCTCCATGAACCGAACCGGGAAGAGCAACGACGAATACCGCGCCTACTTCGAATCAATCAGGCCCAATTATGTGAACTTCACGGTCAGTGCGCTCTAGTCAAGCAGACTTAGGTAGTGTGAGACGACTAACATAGCTGCAGGCTACGGTCATCGAGGAGCTGCATGACGCTAAGACTCACAAATGCATCATCCACGCCCGCAGTAAGGCTCAGACGGCAATCGGGCTGTATGCAAACGAGTATGCGTTGATTCTGTCCTTTACGGAAGATGGCAAGAAGGTTTCTCACTTTGACGAGTTTGTCGACTCTGCGTACTCTGTGAAGTTTCAAGCGGACCTTGCGAAGGCTCTGGCAGGGAATTCCACTGGCCCTGCTGAGTAGTGAACCCGTTCTGAGGTCCGAGACGACCTTCTCTACGGCTGTTCTGTAGGGGTGGACTTATAGACAGTATAGTACTTGCACCGCGAAACAATGTATTACTCTCGGTGCTTCACGCTCGCATCCATGTTGAAGCGGTGACTCGCCTATGTTCTGAAAGTGCAGCTTGCTCTAACCTGATTCCTATGTCTGTTTTTCTTGCTTCACTCAATCATGCAAATTGTTTCGTACACACACGAGGCGCTTTGGGCTAGCATCTTGCTCACTGCCAGCTCGCTTGGTGCAGTTCGACCATGTCGAGTTAGTTTAGCACAGCACATGATGGACTTTAGGAGAAACGAATAAATGTCATTCGCTATGTGGGGCTGCAACACGACGCAGTGTGACCTTGCCGACAAGATCAAGCTATTGGCTCTTCGGCATCCAGTAGCTGTAGCCGTGTGACTAGACCGATCTTTTGCAAGAGAACGTCTAGGTACTACAGACCAAGCGTCATTGGACCTTTTCAGAAATCAGACAAGTACTTTGAAGACAAGAGATGTTCGAAACGTTGGCGGAATGATCATACAAGATCGAAAACCTAGCACCAATTTCGTGTTGAGCACTGATCCTCCAGTTCAATGTTTGAGAGGTTCTGCATTATTCTTCGCCATGCCCGAAGGGTTTGATCTAATAGATCGAGAAGGGCGCAGGGTAGGTGGTTACTGCGTTGCTGTATGACACTGCCATTGCAGCACTCATCGAAGTCTATAACGATAAGCTTTGCATTTCATTCATTCATCATAATCCAATACAAAAAAGGCTATATGACCCCCCGAGCTCTCTTCCAGAGGAATCATTGATGTCATACAAAATTATATGTCCCCCGCCGTCCCAGACTACTGCCTCGCTACCCCAAAGCTCTCGTTGTCCTGATGTACTGTTGTGGTAATAGACGCGCTATCCGGTTTCGTCGCAAGTTCGTTCTGACTGCCATGTGTGTTTGGGTCCTTCTTCGGTTTGGGGCGTGTCGGGGCACTGCCGATTGTGGGGAGATGGAAGCTGAAGACTCCTCCATCGTTTGAGGGGTTCTTGTTATTTTTGCGGGTTGCGCGGATGATAATGGCGAAAGAGGGGCAGACACCGATTATTATAGCTGTAGATGTTAGTATCGAGCTGGTTTTTGTAGTGCAGTTGCGAGGGATAATGGATGATCTTACCGACAGCTGTCTCAGCCATTCCTCAGACTGCAAGCCACGTACCATCCATGGTTGCGTGGGTCTTGATAGTGTTCGCGGTAATTTGAGCAGCACGTAGTGTCGCAATGAAGATGCAAACGATACCGCTGGCAAAGAGGACTCTGATGGCCGTCTTCTGCCCCCGCGGCATGTTAAGGCTCCATGTTAAGTGCCAAGGGAATGCAATCACTACAATGAGACTGAATTAGAATATAGGATTTGACAATGAGTCATGAAAGCACTCACACATGATGTTGGTAATGGTATCTGCGGCAAATGAGTACCAAATGCTGACGAACTGTCGCACTCTGTTGTTACATCCTCTCTTCTTCCCTCCTCCAAAAAAGCTACCCAATGTCTCACAAGACGTGAGAAAGGCGATGTTAGAGTGTTATTAGGAATATAAAGAATGGTTGTCAACTCACAAAGGCGCAAAAGACAACAAGAAACCACCAAATCCTGTTGTAAAGCCCAGGCAGCCCAGCGAATAACTTTCTGTACCGAAGCAACAGTCCAAACTTCACACTCCACAATATGGTCCAGAAAAAGAGGAGAGCGGGGAAGATCAACCTCCCAATCAAGTAAGCATCTTCCTTGAGTCTTGGGTATGGCCCTATGTCGCCGTTCGTGTACTGTCATACTCTTTCTCGTTTGGGTGACAAAATAATGTACAAGATGCACTGCGCGACGAATAAAATATATGCGAAAGCCATCCAGTAATCTTCGGCTGCTATCTTTCTTGGCCGGGCATATTGCAACGCGATACGTGCGACCACGACCGCTGATACTACGGCGAGGGTTGCATAGCCCACCGCTTGTACAGTCTCCGAAGAGAAGGAAGTGTTTTGGCGCGCTGACTCTTCAGCCTTGGATGTCATTGTAAATAGTCGGTTGATGGGAGTTGGAAGTTGTAAAAACAGAGGGCTAAACGACGATCAAAGATGGCGATGAAGCGAAAGGATGAAGATAAGCGTGTAGCCTTGGAGATCAGCGTCTCAGTGTACATGAATTATAATTCCCATCCTTCATAATTCACTAAACAAAGGTACACTCGGGTGGGTCGACCGAACCATCGTGCTGGTACAGCAGTGGGAGGCATCGCATGCTCATTTGATTGCAAGGCAGGCAGGAAGAGGCACAGCTGCTTGGATATACCTTACGCCAACTATGCTTTGCTGTATGAGTTTATAAGCGAGTAACCGTGAGATACGATCCATCGTATCTCTTCCAGATCTTCTCCGAGCGACTTCATACGCGCGGCGTGTGCTGACGGATGAAATCATGACAGGGTGTCCAGAGCAGGTGAGTCGCTCGACAGCCGGCCCGACAACGGGAATCTTGCCACGAACATTGGATTTCAAGGATTAGGATAAAGATTATGGTTTCACAAGCAAGGCTGATGGGCGGCTGATGGACGTGATACTAACGCGGAGTGGTTGCGCATGCTTACACGCGACGGAAAGCAATGCACCTGCCCTTCTTCCATAAAAACTGGGCAAGCAATTCCAGAACGTGGACAGGTAGTACTGGAAAAAGGGTTGTTGCCGTGGGCGAGGTGAAGGATTGATACTGAACCGGTAGACAGGCTCGCCCGCAAACTGTGCCGCAATGCCAAAGAGGCACGGTTTGCGGGACACGGAGTTAACTAGCCGAACCGTTGCCACCCGAACTTTGGCCCCCTTCACCTTCACCACGTCAGCTTACCCATCTGATTCTTGAAGTATATGTATCGACACAAAGACAGTCATTTGAGAATTCCATGTCAAATAATTGCGCCGTGCGCGAATATATCATGGCTGCGGTCCCTGATCTAGCGGGAGCCAGGAACATGATCCCCTCAAGCAGCCAAGCATCTAGGTCACACCATCTAGATAAATTAATGCAGGGCTTGCATCTCGTCTTTCAACTCTTCGAACACTACGCTGTTTACAGCATCTGGGTACATCGGCTAGCATCCTTCATCCCTTTGTCTCCAGCGCGGTAACGATCTGTATATCCCGCGATTGGACAATTAATCTGTATTCCGCCTACAAGCATCACAGAACGTTGCAGAAGAGGCTGTCCGCATCAACCGCCGTGCGTCCATGAGCATGGAAGCAACATCTCTAAGCTCGCCATTTGGCTTGTAGTGTAATTCATTACTCGCCACCAAATGCCCTACGGCTTTGGTAGAAGCTACAAAACGCTTGCCGTCTGCAACCAGGGCTTGTCTCTTCACACCGTGCCGCAACCTCTAGATTCCAAATCTGTGGGCTGGCAACTGTTTAATCTCCGTCGCCATGAGGTTCTTCCAGAAGTACTCACTTGGCGTCCTCGTCTTAGCCGCTAGTGTGTTATCCCAAGACATTTTTGAGCCGTCCGACTTCAACGTTACGAAAGCTTTGATCCAGAACGGCGTCAATGTTTCCGCCATAACCGAGTTGGCTGGCTTGGTCGTTCGCTCGTCGCTGAAAGGCTGCTCGATAGCGGTAGGTTCCGACTCTTTACTTCATTGACGCTCATGCCCTGCCCAAGCAACAAGTTAGCGCTGCTATACACAAAAGACCGTCTTTGCTATGCAAAATTTCGATAATTCTCTAAACACTACCAAGTCACTTACGAGTCTTGGCTTCCTTGCTATTCTTGGTGCATTAGAACAGGAGGATACTCGGCTGATTCACCACACAGTGCAATAGCCTTGAGCTCCTATTTGGCAGCGGAAAAGTTTCCAACGCCGCACCAACTACATACTGGTCGATACAGCAGTCCAACGTGCAACCGTAATGCACCTTTACTACCAAAGCAGCTCCCGAAGTTTCGATATTGGTATTGATTGCACGTCTTACTCAATGTCAATTTGCAGTCAAGAGCGGAGGCCATGCTGCCTTTCCTGGTGCCTCAAGCATTGAGGGTGGTATTACAGTAGACACGGTCAACATGAACCAGAAGAAGCTATCCGCTGACAAGAAAACGGTTGCTGTTGGTCCCGGCAACCGATGGAAGGAGGTATACGACTACCTGACTCCCTACAACCTTGCCATCGTCGGTGGACAGGTAAGTGAACACGAATCCTTGAAGATTTTTTGCATCAATCATTGACGTTGAACAGGCGTCGGATGTCGGAGTCGGTGGTCTTACTCTGGGTGGGGGAATCAGCCACCACACCAACCAATACGGCTTGGCATGCGATAATATTGCATCTTTTGAACTCGTCACTGCCAAAGGCGCTATCATTAATGTGAGCTATGATACGTTTCCCGACCTGTACTGGGCTCTGCGCGGAGGAAGCAACAATTTCGGCATCATCACTACCTTCAACTACGAAACCCTTTCTCAAGGTCCCATGTTCGCCAGCAAACGCCAATATAACATCAGTTACGCCCCTGCCCTGATCGACGCATTTGGAAATGCGGTTGACAAGGCTGATGAGGACCACAAACTCGCACACTTCGTCGCGGTCTCGTACTATTCTGGAAGCAAGCTTGCATCCGCGGAGTACGAGTACTTTGATCCGATTGACACAGCGAACCCACCGGCCATACTTAAGGAATACCTCTCGTACCCCCCGGTCACAGACAACACCCGAAATACCACTCTCGCTGAAACTACTCTTGGGTTGACCGCGAGTATGCCAGACGGCTTCCGCACGACTATGTGGTCCCAGTCCTTCAAGCTCAACACGGATCTCATGAAATGGATCATGCAGCATCTCTGGGAGGTTGCTCCGGGCATTCCTGAAAAGGCACCCAGTATCTCATTCCAGGCCTTTACCAAGCCCGCACTACAGGCCATGCAGAAGAAGGGTGGTAATTCGCTCGGCCTCTATCCCGAAGACGGGCCATTCTTCCATGCGCTGTTTTACATGTCTTGGACCGATGAGAAGGATGACAAGGCCGTCCTCAAGGCAGCGCAGAGCTATCTTAGCGATTGCGTAGCCAAGGCCAAGGAGCTCGGTGCGGACAACGACTACATGTGCATGCCATACAGTAGCCCCTACGAGCCCGTTATTTCCGGCTATGGAGCCACAAACGTCGCCAAGCTGAACGCTGTCTCGAAAGAGTACGACCCTGACAGCGTATTCCAGAAGCTGCAACTCGGCTATTTCAAGCTCAGCGGAAAGGCTCCATTCGGCCAGGTTGTATAGAAGGGTGGTCTGCGTATGCGCTCTCTACCAAAAGATAGATCAATGATATTACGACTCCCCCTCCCTCCCATCACATCGTTTCCTGCACTACATGTGAACTACCTGCAGTATCACAACCACCTAGCTACCTCTCAATAAAAAAAGACCACTCCAGAAGCTATTCTGCCATCTTACTTAATCAAAACATGCGGGGTCAACACGCAGGTCCCACAAACGTCCCTACATACATATCAAATAGCACCGATACTCGGGCCACCAGTAGATTCACCAACGTGCATACATGAACACGTATACAAACCACACCCCATTTACAAAAATACCTCGATGCCGATTCGCCGCATATATCGCAAACCCACAGAAAATGCTCCTCTGCGTCCTGCCAATAGTGCCAGACGCAAGTGGCCCCTTGTATTGATTCGTTCGCGGAGACTCTTTCTGGAGGTATGTACATGTGAGGTACGTACTCTGTTGTGGTACGGTAGTCCGGGCGCGCGGTTCCGCCATCTGCCGTTTCGTCTCTGATTGACGATTTACGCCGATGTAAGCCCATCTCCCGCTTTTCGCAACTTTTACCGTACTTATCTCCACCTTCTACAGAAGTACATCCACATCCACATCCACATCTAGTAATCCTCTCACCGCAACATCTCACCCCCCGCCCCAGCGCATCCATCCATTCCCCTTACCTAAAATTGACTCCCGATGCATCTCGATTCAGCCATCCTCGAACAAAAGTCAGATTTTGCGGTTTTCCCCGCGCCACGTATGTTGATGTTCTCTTTGTTCAAACGGTTTTGCTCACCGCTTGTCTCTCGGCGGCGAGCGAGTCACATATAGCACGGGATGAGATGGGCCAGTCAGATCGCGTAAGAGGTAGAGTAGAGTGGGTGTTGTAGTCAGCAATCCAGACCTTTGAGCTGTACTTACCGGTACCTGGCGTTGCGTTGCGTTGCGTGTCGTTGTTGAACCCAGGGGTGTAAGTAAACAGCGCATTTCACCGACACCGACAGAGGCGGACGGACGACGGACATCGGCGGTATGCGGACGTGTAAATCGGAGACTTTCGACATCGCCATCGCCATCGCCCCTATGTATACCGGTGTGTGATATGTGACATGTGAAATTTTTCGTCGGCCCATCCCATCCCATCCAATGTGCCATTTTGCTCCAAATGTTAACATTTGCTGAACATTGAAGATTGACACCGGTGTTTCACAACCTCGTGGCGACAAGGTTTTTGCAGCTAAATTTCATGCGGGGAACACGGGACAGACACAGACGGACTTGCGGGACGAAAAATCCCTCGTGGTCGGAGAGTTTAGACATTGTCACATCATTATCGGGGGAGTGCGGGAGTGCGTGCCGCGGTGCAGGGAGGATGCTTGTGAGGCCGTTTTTCTGATGGAGAAGAAGGGGGTTTAGAGTTTAGAAGTTCAGGGTCCGGTGGAATTCAGCGTAGTCGGCGCGTGTAGCAAAATGTCACACAAGATGCAAGAAGGTCGGTGGTTTGTGAGAGTAGAATATCCAATTTCAATTTCAATTTCGCTATGCTAAACCAACAAGACAAAAAAAAGTAAACAAGGGCAAGAAGAAGAAATCGGTGTATATATAAAGAGTTCTTGCAAATGAATGCCTATGGGCCCCCGGTCTTTCTATAAAAGTTTGGCTGATGATGATTGATGAAGTTGCAAAACCAAAGTCCCCCGGTAATAACACCGTTGTATGTATTGCCTGTGAAAAAAAGTAACGCCTTTGCTCTTCCCGTTTTTTGTTGCGCGTAAAGGGAAGATGAGCGGTGGTATTGGTATGGTTGGTTTCTACAGAATCGTTTATCGTATTCATTAGGTCGTTGCATGGAAAATGTGATGGCGGGGTTCGCTATCACGGTGGGTGGTGTGGCGGTAGTGCTGGTCGTGACCCGTTTGCTCTTGCATGTTACAGATGACAGCAATCCCGCCTGAATTGGGTTCCATCGAAGCCCGTTGTACCTCCCCTGCTATCGCGAGTCTGGCTTGCGGAAGCGGGGGGGTGGTACAGGCGGGCTTGGTGGCGGGCTACATCAGTTCTCGGTGGTGGGGCTGGCTGGGTTGGAGAAGTTTGGCGTGGCAGGAGCAGAGTAGGTCTGGGTGATGGGTTCGCAGACGTTGCGGTGCGTCTTCCAGTCCGACTTTTGGCAGTTGCGGTCACAGTAGTAGGCTGCCTTGCAGCGGGAGCAGCGGCGGCGGGCGGGTGCGCCGGAGCAGCTTGTGCAAGCTGTTGCATGTTAGTAAATTTGTTCAACCATATGACTACCCGACGTGAAGGTATTCGACATGTCGTAGTGTTAGGCCTTAAGGCGGCCCCTAAAGTGTGGGTAAAGTGGAGCGGTACATGCGCACTAATGCAGCGTAGCGAATGAAGTCGGGTTCCTGCATCGTGGTACACGGACGAAAATGGAAGTTTCGACTTACGCTTGCTCGTCAAGGAGACATTCAGACTCTCGGTGCTGGCCATGGGCCGAAGAGAGTGGAACAGCTCTGGGCGGTTGAAAGCCGGGGGTGGCAGGATAGAGGGATGCGTAGGTTGCGATGAGACGGAACCATCAGAGGATCTTCTGGTATCTAAATCAAACAATTAGTATACTTTGCAAATAACATTGCAAAACACCAAAGTACTGCTGGAAAAGTCGACATACCACTCTGCGCACTATCCCTCCTTTCCATCATCGGGTTTCCTCTGCCATTGTTGTTCACCGCCAGATTGCTGTCGCCAAGACTAGTCGTAAACACATTCAAACACACACTTCGGGGCGGCATTTCCTATCTCTTTCTGAATGATTTTTCTTTTTGTACGGATGAGGCTGGTATGAGTTGTGGAAGAAATTCAGTAAGTGAAGGGGTGCGCAGGTATTTCAAGCAAAAAATGTGCTGCTCAAAGTTTCCTGAAAAGCGGTGTGAGGTGTGAGAGCACAGATCGCAAACTAGCCCAGGAACAAGCTAATGCTTACCGAGTGCTGAAACGCGCGGTCATGTGTCTCAGCCTTGGGATATACGGTCCATGGTATCACGCCGCATAATGCGTATTTGTTTTATCTACTGGACTGCATTGCGCGGTTGTTGAGGAGCCAGAGGCGTTTGGCGTGCTTGTAGTGCGAGTCGCGACCGCACGACTGCCCTTACGAACGACGACAGGATCTGCAAAACAAATCTCCGATTTCTTTGTATCGCGATAGAGTTTGAAAAGCAAGCAGTGCGATGCACCACTGAACGGACATGGCGAGACCGCCAGAGTGTGGGGTAGTAAGCGGCTGACAGGAATTGTGGCAAGAAGAGCGTACGGGTAAGCAACGAGCTGAGCGTTTACAATGAACGCCTCTCAACGGTATGCCATTTATGGACATTTCCATGTGCTGCGGTCAGCCGTCTTACCAATAAACAGCCCCGCATCGACAGCCTCGCTCTCCTGGAAAGAGTACCGGTCAGAAGAAACGGTTGATGATGAGAGAGCAGCTTCAGCTGACGGTGAGTTGTCGTTCTTGTTATCTGACACTTCAAGATCAAGTTTTTGCTGATGGAAACTTCAATAACCGGTGAGCAGGATCAGATCACTGGGCTGACTGTGTAGGAAAGCCGAAAGCCGAAACTCACGAGCCGGATGGGTGAGTTGAACGTATTACTCATCTCCATGGTAGACTCTGGATTTGCGTATATGACCTCACGCCACCACTCGATGGTGACTAAGTTTTTCAGATTGCTTCGAGAAGGACTTCGTCACGTGACCGTACCAGCGCCGCCAAGACCTGTTTCCGTCTTAGGCAAAATTTACGTGGATCGAGATCAGGCGCACGTCGGAAAGACTAAGAGGAGGAAATGTCACGATGACAGATTCAAGAGCTGGGATGAATGATGGTACGACATCAAAGGTCACGCGGACAACACGGCTAGTGCGGGGGATAGGGTTGACCCTTCCTCGTCGCACGACATTGACACTGGGTGAATTGACAGCTCTTTGAGCCAAGATCATATGGTGTAGCAGACCCCACGGTCGAGACGCCGCTCTGGACCATGCCGACATGTCCGATCCATCATCTCCGGTTGAGGCATCAAGGGTAGTAGCGCAATGGTTGCCTAGATATTGCGCAACCATTATAGGGCAATGGATGGATCCAGATCTGCCCCTGTCAGCAATCCATGTGAGCGGGACGCCTTCCGATATCGAAAGGGTTCTACGTCAAAGGTCTACCGATATGATGGCATCGAAAACGCCCTGCGCAAGGCAACTGAGACACGGATTGCGAGGAACGTTACGTCCGACATGCAGGAGAAGTTTTGGTGATGAGCATGTAACTGTGTGAGAAGGAACATGCCCTGGGCGCCACATAGTGGCTGGAGTTTGGATAACGGACGTAAGTGGCCGTCAGCTGTCACGTACCCGAAGTTTGGGTCGCTATCTGCATGGCAGACAAGCCATGGGGGCCGTAAGACCCGTGTACGGTAGAGGGTGCTCTCATACAGCTAGTGTATATTGTGGCGGTGCAAAAGTTCGCATGAAGCGCCCTTTGTTAGTCTGCAGCCGTCATCGATGATAGCGAACGGTGGTTGCGCTAACTCCCGTCAATGCCAGCCAAGGCTGTAAAAATGCGCAGCTGATCTAGGAGGATATTTTACGGGAGAAGACAAATTCGGTCTTTGTGTGGCACTCGGGGCGAGCCGAGCGAGTTGATGGCTGACTCATAGGGTGGTGCCAAGACCCACACAGTGAATGTTCCGATACGGGTCTGCTTGAGTCATCGCTTGCGGGATGGAGTTGACCAGGTAGAGAATATTGTGAAACATGAAACACATTTGACATGGCCCCGGTGAAGAGCTGGTGAAGTGGAGCGAGTGTAAATCCTCATACTGAAACACGACATTGATAGCCACACGTCCTTTGTGAAAAGTAGGGTGCGGACGAACTGCTGTGCCAATGCGCACTTGGTCGAAGAGTCACCAGAGCCCAATTGACGAATCAATGGGGCCGTCGAGACCGGTCAGCCAGAAAGAGAAAGACCTGTCAACGATAAAGTGGGTAGCGTGATGCACGTCACTGCAGTCCACCGGCAAGCGCCGACTAACAGGCAGCTCGATGAGTCTTCAGAGGACACGCAAACAGCTCGCGGGTACCAAAGCGCCCTCGACTGGTGGACAGTGAAGGGCGCAGAGGAAGCTAAGGCGGCCCTTTTTGCACTGACATGGCTGAGGTGTCGTGGGATTCAAAGTAGCACCCGTGGGTTGTGGCAGAATGACAGCCACAGACGGTGCAATTTTGCAGTGATGCCCGATGTCGCACATGGCATTGCAACAGCCACTCCGTCATGTAGAGGTGTTGGATAGAGTGCAGGAGGTGTGGCTATGCGTCCAGGTCGTGCGGCGGTGAGATTTAGAGAGTGCACACTATGTACACCTAGAGAGTGCTGCGCAAATGGGCGCTGGGCGTGTGGGAGTGGGGAGAAGGGCTGTCTAGGCCGTATCGAGCGTGGCTGCCGTGGCTGATGCCTCACGGAAACAGGCACCCACACACCACAACTCCTGCAAACCGGACGGCAGCATGGGGCGCAGTATCGTGTGATGCATCGTGAACAAGGCCCGCCTCTGTCCTGGTTCACGCACTCTCGACGACTACGTCGCAGTCGCGTTCAGGAGTCGTCGCGGCGGCTGTTGGCGCACGCCTGGAATATCTCAAACACCACGACACCAAACGACAGCACACTGCACCAATGACGGCCCTCTCCGCCAGCGGCCGTTGACGGCTCTCTGACCTCGAGCTCCAAACACGTTTCTAGCGGCGGTTCCCAAGACATCGTCGTCATCCACATATCGAGCGAGCACTTTGCAGTCACCGCCCTCGCTAGTGCCCCCATGGCCCCTCGTCTTGGGCGCTAGTAGGGGTTAACTTAGCCCTGCTGATGGACGCAGGCCACCCCGGCATGGCTCAGGCATCCACCCACACCCTGGCATGCCGCCTAGTACGTACACAGCAAGAGACATATAATTCCATGGCACCCGCTCCCTTCATGCATCCCCCCAGAACACCAGCCTACACTATACAACGACCTGCCATCTACATAACCACCAGCTCGCACCCAACTGAGCCAGCCACCAGAGCCACCAGAACCAACACACTTCACTTACACACTCAAGTCACTCTCACCGGGGAGTGACTTCATCAGTACCATTCAGTACCTTGGCAACATCGTCACATTGGCTTCCCCAAAGTCTATTTTGAAGAAATCACCACCCACATCACCCAATATGCCTTCAGCACGCACAAACGTGCCCACTGTCGTCCAACGGCCAGCCATGGCCAAGAAGGAGCGAGTAGTGGGCTTCTACGAGGACCCCGTGGCCTCATTCTGCCGACCAGCCAACAACACCGAGGAATGGGCTGCCTACCACTTTGAGATGCACGCCAGACAGTGTGCCTACTGCCACAAGCCATACGAAGTCCACCGCAACCACGAGCGACTCTGTGACGTCGGCCACCGTCTCGCCCAGGACGTGGCTCAATACATCTACCAGAAGGCAGATGGAGCCATCTACTCCACCACTGAAGAGGACAACAAGGTCGTCCGCGTCGAGGTCCCCGCCGGCTACGTCGAGGTCTTCTCTCTCCTCAAGGCCATTGAGCGCAGCCTCCGTCACCGGTCACGCAAGCCATTCGTGTCCATGGACCGCACCTACTACGTAGCTCCTCGCACATCATCCACCTCACCTCGACGAAGCCACTCGGTCAAGCTTGAGCAGGAGCCCAAGAAGTCAAAGTCATCCCGCCCACGATCTGGTGAGATTGTTGACTGGCCACATCACACCACCACCACCAAGACCAAGCGCCCCCTCGCCGAGATCAGCAACACACCCAACTCCAAGCGCGGCTCTCTCTACGAAGAGGACCTGGCCAAGCAGCGCCGCAACGCAAAGCACTACGCTGTCGAGGTCCGCGAGCCATCAGCGCGAGACGTCCGCGAGCACCGATCACCTGGCTACTACCGATGAATGATGAGCTGATTATTTTTGCACTTCACCAAAAAAACGACCTATTACTTAATACGATTTCTACAACTACGACTACGACTACCAGTCTAGCGGCCTTAGCCGCGCGGTCAACGGCTCCGATGCCACCATGACGCGATCCGCGGACGCTGCAAAAGCTCCGCGCCGCGCGCCACCGCCCAAGTTCCTCATGCCTTTTGCACGCTTTGTTTTGCGATGCTTACAGTACACATGTTGGTTGGACGGGGGGAGGAGTAATGGAAGGGCTCAGAGGAGGCCTGCAACATGGCAGTGCCGAGGGAAGGATGATGCACGCCGGGTTTCTTGGACCCTGGCTGATGCGGAGGAAGAAGCTTGGAATGACGTTGATAGATCTTAATTAGATAGCTAATAATGGACATGCTCCTATCTCCACATGGTGCCATCATGACAATGAAGTGACATTGCCACTGACTTTTACCAAAAATAATTCAAACATCATCTCCACGCACTCGACAGAAACTAACAAAAACTCAATCCCCACAAACTTGCGCACTGCGGCAGCGGCAGACGAGACGACCGCGCGGCAGACTTGCACCACCCACACACACACAAAGAGAGAATCTGCACGAAACATGCATCTTCTGAAACCAGTCGCACACCCGCCGTCTTGAGCGGCACACCCACACCACCTCGGCACCTGGCTGCTTCCTTTGTTACGACTCACACATGGCCAATGGCACGGCAGCACGCCTAGGCTTATCGCAGTGCTGCCTCCATCATGTGGCCAGGAAGATATTGATCGCCGGTGCCGAAGCGGGTGCGTGAACAGGTTTACCTGCGTTTTACCTGCTTGGACCCTTGACATTTACACTTTGCCCTATCGTGGCCGCCACACTACGTATCTCAACCTGAGTCGCATACACCCTCATCTTCGACTTTGTTTTGGCATGCGCATGTAGGTGAGTGTTAGTGCATTTATTCTGCCATTCTGTTTCCTGGCATGGTTGAGCTTTGTTCTCGTATAGGAGTGGGCCATGTTTTGTTTGTTGGGGCGACGACCATGTGTCTATGGAGCGAGTGCAAAAAGCCACGGTCTGACATACATTACTTGGCCGCGACTCCAAGCAGGAACGACATCATTGTTTGGCACGCATGGGGGTGGTGATATCAGGTACCATGTCCTTAGATGACGCGATTATTTCCTGGGGAGCGACTCAGTGCCCGGCAGCGGCATTCATCGCAGGGGAAGGGTTTGCAATGCGGGGCAGGGCAGACGTCAGGGTCCATGGCAGTGGCATTGGCATTGGCATTTGGGCTGAGAGATTGGGGGCGAATAGACGAGAGATGAGGTATGGGCTTCTTGGAAGTTACAGTGGTGTATGCTGTGTGAGGCGACTCGGTTGTCTCGTTGTCATTGTGCCGATACTTGTGCGATGGTGGCCTGGTGTTGCGGGGCACTGATGCGCACAGAACATGAGGGTCTTCCAGCGCAACACGTCCGAACACATCACAAACGATAGATACTCGCAGGACGCATGCAGAGGACGCGCAATTGCCACTGCCGCCCAAAATATCACTGTCACTGCCGATAATATTGGCTGCTATTGAAGATCAACAGCCGAAGCCTCACGATAGCAGCACCTGTGTTGCTTTTCATCCCGCCATGTGGAGATGGTCATCCAAACCCGTTACGCGTCGGCCGCAGAGCGACCGAAGGACTGTTCGCCAACGTCATATCTCCGAAAAGCGTGATTGCGAGTAGAAAAGTGTGTGAGACGAGGACAAAGTCAAAAGTGACAAAGTTTGGGGGGGGGGGGGATGCACTTTGCACTGTGCTATCTTCTGGATGCCCAATACCCCTCACGCGCACCTATCGATAAGGCCTGATCTAGAATCTAGCATGGCTATCTAAGAATTGGATGGCAAGCATGAGCTTTCTAGAAAAAAAGCACCATGGTTATTGCAGTGACAGCTGTCATGAAACGCGGGTGCTATCGATTACCCGTCCAGGGCGTTCCCAGGTGCAACAAGCACCCAAGTCGTGGGTATGCTGGCTACCCGTGCCCGCAACGCCCGACCAAGCAGCCCACCCTGTTTCCTCAACCACATGTCTGCCGACCAAGTGGGCCAGCTCGACAAATCTCGACCACGGCCAAGCGAAGCGAGTCTGTCTTTTCTGTCAGTCTGTCAAGTCTAGCGCGATACAGCATCCGTGGAGCAATTGGGCCGACTCCATCATGACCGGTCCAGCTGTTGTGAACTGCAGCTAACGCCTAGCGACATGTGGGTGAGGTGGAAATCTGCACGTCTTGCAGCCTCACGGACCTCGACGGACCTCACCGGTCAAGACCAACACTGGGTACTTACTGCTGAGGGTACGTACCTGAACGCAATCCCCACAGGATACGGTCTCGAATCTCATCATTATACGAGTCTATCCGGCCATCGGGTGCGCGTTTCAGATCGCGGCCACACAGCAATGCCAGCTCACCCCCGCACGTACCGTGATCCAGACTACACATTACCTCCTTCTACTTGCAGAAGGAAGCCAACGTGTCCCCTCGAAAGCAAGTACCTTTTGTTGAACCCTAAACCCAACCTCTTTCCCGCATCCGTTTCCCAATCCCCCCTTCCCTTGACTCTTCTTGTTTTTTACCCCACAGTCCAATACTTTTGCCCGCCCACTTTGACTAAGCTCTTAGCCCGATTGCACCTTTTTTTCTCCGCTTGGGTCCGGTGCGTCGCGCATGCGCATGTACATTTACTCTACATGTATTGCCAACGTGTCGCGCTTACCCTTTAGTCCAGGTACCCAGGTTGAGAAGGGGCATCGCGGCCATGGCACCGGCCCAACCTACGCAAATCTTTGCTCGCTATGGTCCTCGCTTGCCCAGTCTGTGAACGGGGTTGTGGTGCTCGAATGGGGTGAGATGGTCAGGGCTGTGCTGACTTGATGGACTGGCAGAAAAAGTCATGGCGATTGGATGGGCTGCTGGGGAGTTCAGTTCGGTGGTTGATGCGTTGAAAGGGTTGGGGTTTGGGGTTGCGGGAAGCGTGTTCGGGTCGGTGAGGCGCAGCAGCAGCAGCAACAGCACCTCCACCTCCACCTCCACCGCCGCCGCCATTGTGAGGCTGAGGCTCAGCCCTCTATGCTAAGCCACTGGTTCCAGCACACGGTTCTTCGGCTACCATCACCTAGCCATGGCAGTTTACACGCTCTGACGTCGTTAAGTTTGAAGTCGCTTTACCTTGTCGTCTTATCTACGTGCGCTATTCTGTAGCGCGCGCATGACGCCATAGCCGTGAGAGCACTCACAGTAGCTCGGAGGAGCCTCACAGTAGCTCGTCGAGCACTCGCAGTAGTTTCGCGAGTCGCCGTACCCTCGCGTACCCTCGCGTACCCTAGGCATGTCCGACATTTCTCGACAGTCGACGCTCAGCGCCTCGCCCGCCTAGATAACAAGTCCCGGAGCCGAGAAGTTACCATCCTACTGTACCCTCCCCGTTGGGGGCCAAGCCCAATGCAGGAACACACCGGGCGCCTCGCCGGCCAGCCCTACGGCCCCCAGATCCTTCCATCCTAAACAATGCTCAAAATAGGTCCTTGGAAACTTACTGCGCCGCCCTCAGATGTGTTTTGGAAGCCTTAGTATTGGGATAAGATGATGTACCTATCAGAGAGGGCTTTTCTGCCTACATGGGTGAGAGTTTGGGATTGGGGAGGCGCCTTAGGTTGGGGTGGGTTTCGTGGGTGTCGTGGGAGAGAGCAGGGGAGGGTAGGGTAGCATATGATATGAAGGTGAGATTAGTGGTATGTGATGCGCGAGACACAATGCGCGAGGTGTGTCTGTGGAGGTATTGATGTGGAGGCTGTGCGACGTAAAAGCTAAGAGGTAAGAGATGAGTGATCTGCGTAGATGCGGGTATTCTCTTATCTTCTAATGTCCATATTTTCTTATCGTCTTCTCTTCTCTATGTTCTCTTCCCCTCCTCTCTTGTCTTCTAATGCTCATTTCCCCTTCTCGTCTTTTATCGTTTCAAGAGAATGATGACGGCTTGCGATGTGTGACACGGGTGCTTTGTGTAGTTGCTAAGCTATCTCTTCTTTTCTTGTGTAGAAATCTTCGATAAGGCAGAGACCGTTAACGAGGGCGAATTCTACAGCCCTTGGTTTGCTGCGTGCGAAACCGATGGTGCACGTGGTTACTAGACTGTCTCTTGTTTTCTCGTGTCTAAACTTTCTCGTTATCTTCTCGATGATTGCTGCGCAAAGTCACTAAGTTGTCTTTTATTTGCTCGTGACTGTACTGTCTCATTATCATCTGTGGCCTTTAGGCTGGAGGGGCAGCTTGCTACGTACTTACTAAAAGGTACGCGTAGTTGCTATGCTGTCGCTTGTTTTCTCGTGTCTAAGCTCTCATATTCTCTTCTCTCGTCTCCCAAATTATATTTTTCACCTCCAGCTCTTCATTTCACTTGTCTTCGTGAACACTTGAGCTCTTCCTTGTCAGTCACTTGCTTCGTTCTGCGCAGCCTATTTTGCCTGCACATCATGACACCACTGTTCATTTTCATATATATTTCTTTATTGTTCGTAGCAACACTGTGTTAATACATGGGACAGTCACTGCAGCATCGTTCAAAGTTGGTTCACTGTAGTCGTACTACATAATGCCTTCGTTAGGTCCCGTGTTCACTCACTTAGTCACATTCACCTCCCTATATATGTTTGCTTCCCAATAAGGCCAAAAGAGTACACTACGTACTATTCAGGGTCCGCACCATATCTGTGATATTCCGGTCTCGTGAAAAACAACAACAAACCCCCCTCGACACTCGAACTCTCCGCGACCGCCACTCGCAAACTAATTCATTCAACCCAAAATCGTCACATTGAACAAGTCAGAGATGGATGGAATCAGCTCCAACCAGTCCACTGGCAACGACATCCTGAAGGAGTTTCTTCAGGACAAGTCTGCCAACGAGATCTTGGGCCACTTCTTCGGGGCGCCTATGGTCAATGACCCGTCCGGCCGTCTCAATGATGCTGCCATCATTTCCATTGACACGGAGTGGTGGCAGAAGGACCCCAATCCAGTGACCGAGCTGGGCATCTCGGAGCTCCAGAGCAAGTTTGTCTTTCCCAGCGTCCATGCCACCAACATCCTCACTGGAGTGCAAACGGCGCACGCCCGTCTCAAGCCCCATGCCCACCTCATCAACAAGTTCCCCGGCGCAGGCGACCCAGAGAAGTTCGAGCTTGGCACCACCAAGTTCGTGACGGAGGAAGAGGCAAAACAGGTCCTAATCGACGCCTTTGTGCGCCCGCATTTGGAGGATCCCACCTACCTCCAGCCGATCATCCTCGTCGGCCACGCCGTGGAGAACGAGTTTGAGCACATCCTCGAGGCATTCGGCGTTGACCTTCTCAGCTATGGCACCATCGTCAAGGTCATCGACACCCAGGCCATGGCCAAGGATGCAGGCATCCTGGGCCCCAAGGGCCCCCTCATCAGCCTCGGAGATCTTATCTCCCACTTCAACCTAACTGTCCCCAACCTCCACAGCGCAGGCAACGATGCTGCTGCCACCCTCATGGCCGCTGTCCTCGTCTCCCTCAAGGAGGTACTCTATCCTGGCGTCGGCGCCAACAAACCCCCTGCCATCGTCGAAGATATCAACATCCCGTGGGTCGTCAGCGCCCTCCTGACCGACTACAAGTCCCCGGCACCCATCTAGGGCCAGCAGCTCTTCTGCACTCGCTGCGAGCGCGACAACCATCTGCGTGCGCACTGCTTCGCCAAAGTGCAGTGTCAGATTTGCCTGAGCTCAGGCGTTAAGCGGTTGTTTAACGCTAGAATTAGACACACGACGGGCCGATGCTTGTACAAGTACCGGGGGTTGCCGGCTCAGGATTTTGGGATGCGTCAGTAGATGGAGAAACGTGGAGGCTGGGGTGGTAGAAAGACAGAGGAGTGGGTAGTGATGATTGCACTTGGAGTAGACGATTTGTATGATACCATAGAAGAAGTTACTGGACTCAGCATAGAACAGGTGTATACCTTAGTACGATGTCTGAATAGATCTGGGTCGCGCTAAAGCGAAATAAAAAACTATTACAAACAAAACAAGATTGTAACTTTTGAATGCCTTTGTAAAATGAACTGCAAGTGTATACAGTGATTCTCATGCCCTCCTTACTTTCTCGTGATATTGTTACATCCTCATGACATGCCCACTCCCATACCCCAACAGTTCCTGTTAACGAAACCCACACACATCCCCCAGATGCGTCCCAGCATTTTCCCTCCTCCAATTGACCCCAGACTTCTCACACTTCTCACACGCCTCCCCTTCCCACTCACAATCCCTACCCTCATGCTCCCAACTCCCACACCGCACACAAAACACATCCGTCCCCCATGGCGGCGCGGGCGTCGGACCATTCATAAGCCCCTGCACCACCTCCCTCGCCTCCTTCCCACTTGACACGCCCGTCCTCCCTGGTTTAGCAACTTTATTCTTCGTATCCTGATAAAGCTCCATCCTCAAACTCGACAGCACCGCCACCGCCGTCGTATAAACAGCCGCATTTCCCGCGTTTTCCTCATCGAACAGCTTGAGCTTGAACTGAGCCAACAAGTAATTGAGATTAGCATCTGCGTGTCGCGTAATCTTCGCTTGCTGCGGGATGATCTGCGCATCTAGCGTCGCAACCGTGGTATCGAAACCACTGGGATCGAAATCAAAGGCCGGACGACGAATCTTTCCCACGGCGTCGTTGGAGCCAAATGCCATGTAGACAATGGGTTTGAAACCTGCTTTGAAGTTGTCCTCGTCAACGGGCTGGTGCCAGATAGCGTGTAGCATATCTAGCGCTTCGGCCAGCGTCACGTAGATTGTGGTGCCGAAGTGGAAGGGCGGCGGCCCGGTCGCTGCGCTGCTGTCGATGTGGGCGGTGGGCCGGATGACGAGGTGGAGACACCAGAGCTCACGCAGGAGGTTCTCGGCGTGTGGGCCGGGGGTCGGGGGTGGCGTGTCGTGCGTGCTGGTGCGTGTGTAGGTCGTTATGCCGAGGGAGAGTAGGCGGTACGGTGGGTGTGTGGTCCATTTTCGGTGGAGCGTTACGAGAACGGCAGAGCTGAGGGGGTTGCTGCTGGAGCCTTTGAAGTAGCTGCGCAGGACTTCTTGGTCGGGGTGGGCAGAGAGAGAGGCGCGGAGGGAGAGGAGTTTGGCGGTGGTGAAGGGCGTCATCTTGTGAGTGTGCGTGGTTGGGATACTGTGCTAGATTGAAAATGAAGTAGAAATGTTAGTCACTCAAAGATGATTTGTTTTTGTTCTTGGTGCGAATTACGGAGATGCGAGGAACGGTGATGGTGAGAGTGAATGTGAATGGACTTACGCACCGAACATGTAGCAGTGTATCAGATATAAGAACAATCGCTCTCCCTATATGCTTTAGAGCATTATATTTTGCGTCTATCAATTCATAGCGATACTCTCGTGCGTGAATACAGCAGACACTAGGCAGGCTTCAGGTCACATGATCGTATGAGCATGACCCTGTATGTAGGTAATCCACTTAGCTCACTCTACCGAATGGCACGAAAGCGCCTTAGACTTCACTACCTACCCTGAGACCTATACACGTCAACTCGTACATCTTAAACTCTGCGCAGAGAAGATTCAAGTAAAGATAACGCAGTGGCTATTTCACAATCCATATCCCCGTATTGCAACCATAATGCCGTCGTATGCGAACCTTTGCTATCGTTGCCAGCGTTTAGAAATGGGTCTCAGGCAGCCGCAGCAATGATAGCAGCATCTCATGCGATGAGGATACTGGCTCAACATAGAGCACATGAAGGTACCTAGGTGAGGCAGACGGTGGAGATGCTCACGAACAGATCGACACAGTCATCAGCGCTTACAAGGCGCGGATTACATAAACTCACCTTCGCTCCTGTCGAATTCATCCCGAGACTATGCCTGCTGAAGCTGCCAAGAGCGGAGTCTCCAGCGGAGCCCCAAGCGGGGAGCGGGGTTTATCCACCAATAGCCGACCATCACCCATCATCACGATAGATACCCGACTATGCAACAATCTTTTCAAATAAATAAACCCCCAAGTACCCCAACGTCCCTAAAGTAAAGTTCAACAAGCCTTTCCCTCACAATCATGTTCGCACCCTCCCTCCTCGAATCACTCAAGAGCGCCAACCTCCTCCCCTCCGCCATCATCCCCACCAACTTCAACCCCATCATAGATCTAGGCGTCACATTCCCCTCTGGCCTCGCACCACACCATGGCTCCCTCGCGCGCGTCAGCCAAGTCAAAGAACAACCCAAAATCTCAATCTCCAACCCTCCTCCCACATCATCAAACTTGACTTACACATTTATGATGATCGACCCAGATGCGCCCACGCCTGACGACCCGAAATTTGGTTACTGGCGCCATTGGGTCGTGACGTCTATCCCTTCTTCCTCTGCCACCGCCTCCCCGGATGATATCACGGCGAGCGGAACGACGCTGACGCAGTATTTGGCGCCCGGGCCGAAGGATGAGAGTGGGCCGCATCGGTATTTGTTTTTGCTGCTTGAGGAGAAGGAGGGGATTGCGCTGGAGAAGATGGATGTGGGGGGTGAGGAGTTTGTGGATAGGAGGAGTTTTAGGGCTGAGGAGGTGGTGGAGAGGAAAGGGATGAAGTTGGTGGGGGTGCAGTGGATGAGGGGGGTTGGGGATGGGTGGAAGGAGAGTAAAGGGGAGCTATGATGATGAGGAAACGTAGTAAAAATATCGATAATTAGTATGGACAATGTCTAGATTGGATGGCTGACGTCTCTCAGCAGCACGTGAGTCCTGGCGTACTGGAGCATCTCGTTGCTAGGCACTCCAGGCCTCGCTTCCTGTGCCAATTACAACTGATGTTCGTTGACAAGATTACAATATCATTCATCTTTGTCGTATTGTATTCGCTTATAAACAAAGGTGTAAGAACAAAGCATCTAGTCCTCCCCTTGTTCCCGTCATTCATGTCCTTGGACCTTGTCAAATGGCCTTCTTTGTTCATATCAACCTACTTGTACATCTCAACAACTATACTAAAAACAATATTTGATCACCAACTTCATGTAAATCGAATATACCAACATCTCAAAAACATCATGGTTTACGACACCAGACCCCCCAAACCCGCCGCCGACAAAGCCCTCAATGACTGGCTTTCCGTGCCTCCCAAACCAACAACCGATAAGATCGCCATAGTAAACATAAACGGCCAACAAGTCCGAGACCCAACCCTTATAATCTCACAAGAAACAAGCGGCAAGATCGATTGCGCCCTCTGCCTAGGCCGCACCCACCGTATCGTTTCCCTCAAAGCTACCAAACAAAAGAGAAAAATCGATGCGAGAATTGTCGAAACTGCGGCGTCATTGGAAGTTCTAGAATTTGTCACTGGAATCAAGAGAGCGACATTGGAGCAAAACTACGATGAAGGCCATTTACAAGATCTCATACGTGTCAACCATGAGCTACACGATAGACGCGCGATGCAAGCCGCTTTCCACGAGCAAAAGAAAAACATTGATATTGGCGTGAAGAAAGCTAAACAAGAATGGCAAGCTGCTTGGGCTGCAGTCGAAGGAGCCCTAGATATAATCTGGACCGAAGCTAAAGTCCTAAAACCACACGCTGATCCTCACGCGCACGATTACGGATACTCCAGTCTACACAACACTCCAAGCACCTCCAGTCTAAAAAATACTCCAAGCACTACCCACGGCCCAGAAATCCCCAACACCCCCAGCATTCAACAAGGCAGCACACCAGACCTTGGAATGGCAAAATTCGCCGACTTCCCCATAACAACCCCCAGAGGCTCCTCCGCCAGGGCACGTCGGGTCTGCGCATGGCGACAGTTTCCAGCCGGCGCGTGGAACGAAGAAGTTGTAGGAAATAAGCGGTCGTCCCCAGTAGAGCTCACGGAGTGGGAGCAGGAGTTTGTGAATCGTGTGGAGAAGACTGTTTCTTCTACGTCGACTGCAGGGGATATCATGACTCCGCGGCAGAAGCCATGGAAGCGAGTGATGGAGTCGGATGACGAGGAAGGTGAGTTTAGGTTACCGAAACGTAGAAGCCAGAGGAACAAGGAGACGAACACACAAAACGCAACTGGCCCACCACAGGGTACGGGTGGTCCTGAGGCCGGCCCCTCACAGCAGCGCAATCAGAATGGGCAAGATCAAGCGAATGGCAGTACTAGCTCGAAGCGCAAACGAGCGGAAGAAGAGGGGGCATTGCCACAAAGGAAAAGCCCAAGGAAGTCTATCTCGGCGACTCCTAGTGTTGAATCGCCTACCCATACGCCCAAGCGCAAATCCACTATTCCAGAAGTCTTTGTTAGTCCTGTCTTATAGATGCTTTTTGCTAGTACTCTAATCTTTACATAAGTCGGTGTTAATTGGAAAGATTCTTTTCCTCCTACTTCCTTATTTCGTAGTCGAGATCCGTTATAGCTAACCGACCCTTCAGGGGGACGAGGGTCAGATTTCTCCCCCAATGGCGTGATATAGATACCCACTGGACTTGGATATGTGAGCAAAACACCAAATGTCTGGGTAGATATCAGTGTGATATGTAGAATGCAAGACGTCACGTAAGATGTGTGAAGATAAGCTCAAATAAGCCTTGATAAAGATGCTAGAAAAGAACGATCTTAAACTACTGATAAAGACAGACAAACGATAAAAAAGCGCGTAAAAAGCACATCATCCTTTTGCTATACCAATTTCGCGACACATGTCAAACCCAAAAGAACGGCCGTATACCACCCCCTTCCTGGTCCTTCACCATGTTCCCTCCCCCCTCTATCCCACATCTCTCACAGCATCCCTAATCTACGACCACATAAGCGCCGCATCCTCCACTGGCTCCACCTTTACCACACTAACTGCCCTCTTCTTCTTCCTACCAGCATCCACATCATACAACAACATCATACAACACCACACTAACCGCACTAATATCCACCCTCATCCAACCCGCCTGATCGGTAACCGGCATACCGGCATACCCAGAACAACTAGCCGTAATCTGCAGATCGACGCTCGCGCCCTCCACACCCGGTCCAGCGGTAAAGTACTCGCTACGCTGCAACCACGTGGTCTGCGGTGTAACAGTGTAGACAGTATGGTTACCAATCCTGTATTGCGCCGTACATCCCGCCATGGTATTGGCTTGGCGGTTCATGGAGGAGAGCTCGTTTTGCTGGCCTGGGCAGAGGGTAAGTGGTTGTGTGATTGTCAAGGTGCGGCCGACGACTGCGGATCTGAATTGTGCGATTGTTCCGTTGCTGTTGGGGTCTTGCTCGGAGCCTACGGTTATGGTGGGGTCGAGATTGTCTACTGTCCAGGGCGCGACGGTGTTGTCACTGCTCATGGTGAAGTTGGGGTTTGTTACTACATTGTCGGGATTTGCGCAGGCTACGTCGATCTGTGGTTGAGTTGCTAGCTGGCCTGCTCGTCGGTCTTCGGTGTCGAGATCTGCTGGGGAAGATGCGCTAGACGTGGACGATGATGATGCGGATGTAGAGACTGCACCCGCTGTTACGGTCTCGGTGAGGGTCGAGATCTGGACCTGGACACTGGTTTGCACAGATGTGACTGTAATTATAATGGGCGCAGTTGGGCATATGTCGAGCGTAGTGCTATTGCTGACATAACCGGTAGGTGTTGGCAACGGGATCGAAGAGTTACCCGTGGGGAAAGGTGGAATTTCAGTCGAGTAAAATGGAACACTCGGTGTGGCAGATGGAACGGTACTAGCACTGAAGCCGCTTCCAAAGGGAACAGTAGAATTACCGAAGACTGGGGGTACCACGGGTGTTCCTATATGTGAAGAACTTGTTGTATTATTCGGTGGTAGCAAGATACCCGACGATACCGTAGGGGTTTCGGTCGGTGGCGACGTATTGTTTACCGAAGGAGTGACTCCTGTCAAGATACCAGAGCTTAGAATAGAGCCTGTGACGTTTGCAAAAGGTAGGACAAATACCGAGACAGTCGTGGTAACAATCGCTACAAAACTGCTACTCATGCTGGCACTCACAGTAGGCGTAGATACCAAAGCTGAGTCGGTCGGGCTAGTGGCAGGAATGTTGAGGTTTGACAAAGTAGAGCTGAAGATATTGTGCGTCCGATCTCCTGCTGAATTGTTGAACGGTGGGCCGGGAAGACTGAACGACACGTTGAAGCTTGGGCTGGGTGTTATACTTGCCGGGCTTGATGTACTGATAGGCATCGATGTAGTCTCGTTAAAGAACGGAGTCCGATCGGCACCGGAGTTTGTGAAAGGGGGCCCTGTGGAAGACGCGATCAGGCTTGAAGTCGATGTGACACTCACTGGAGGCAAGGTCCCACTAGTCACTGGCGTACTCTCACTAAAGAACGGAGTCCAGTCAGCACCAGTGTTCGTGAAAGGAGGTCCAGTAGACGATGAGTTTAGGTTTGGAGTTGGTGATGCACTAGGCGTTGTCGAGTTGGCGACCGAGATTGAACTATCAAAGAAAGATGTACGGGGCGCATCTGTATTGGAGAATCGCGGACCTGTAGAAGATGTTGCCTCCAAATTTGACGTTGTAGAAACCGAGACTGTCGGGTTTGATGGTGTTTCCGATGAGGAGTTCAAGTTTAGGCTTGATGTCGGCTAGAAAGAGGCGGAGATGCCCTCGCCACAGTGGAGAATGTGGCGCTGTGCTAGCTGGAATGGAAATGTTGCCCGTGCCTCCGGTGGATGTAAAGTTGAAACTTGGTGTAGTTCTAGCTTTGCAACGACGATGTAGACACGTTGGTAGGTAGTGGAGGTATAATGCCATTGTCTTCAATGGATACGGTAGTTGCCGTGCTGGAAGATGTAGAAAATTCCACCGTACCAACCCCAATCGATATCACAATCTCTTGACTGGGTACTGGAGTTGCCGAAATGATGCTAGAGTCGTTTGAAAGCAGTGGTGGCAGAACTCCAGAGTCACCGGTCGAAGATGCCAATGCGGTGCTACCAGAGACCGTGACATTGAAGGAGCCACCCGTAGGTGAAGGAGTTACGGTAGTCTGATTACCCGCAGAAGGGACGCTGCTAGTGCTACCGGGAGGACTGATACCAGAGTCTCCATTCGAGTAGCTAGTCAAGGTACTGCTGCTTGTAGCAAAAGAAGCTTCCCCAGATGTTGCAGCGACTGAAATCCCAAGTGAAATATTGGTAGAAAGAACAGGGGAGAAGGCACCTTCTCCTCCAGTACTTTGCAGTGCTGCAGTCGAGCCAGAAATTGTAATAGCAAACGACCCTGCTGAGATCACTACATCGGGTGGGCTTGTTGACACACTGGAGTTCCCAATTGCAGTGGTGACGGTGGGGGTGATGACTCCGTCAAGACCCGTTGATACGGAGGTGTATGTACTGCCCGAGATTGTGATGTTTCCGCTCCCGGAGCTATTCGTAGTAGAAGGTGGTGGAATGACGCCCTCGCCTCCATCACTGTTGCTGGTGTAAGTTCAGCCGGAAATAGTGAGCTGTGCGTTTCCGGAGGATACGATGGTGCTGACAACTGCTGATGGTGTGGGAATGGGCGGGAGAACGCCGGCATCGCCAGTAGAGGTGAATGCATACATGGGCAAATCGTTTTTAAATCGTTTTGGCAAACCTTAAAACGTTAACGCGTTTAAGCAAAAATCCTTATAACGTTAAAGCGTTTAACGATATAAACGATATAAAAACGATATAAGATACATCATGCCAAGACCGGGTTATGTCCATTCTAGAATCTCCTCTACCTCATCCCCTATCATCTCTGCTTCGTCATCTTGCTCTGGTTCCATTGGTAGACCCATTCCGTTGAGAGAACACGGTTTTATGTGGCCTTCCCTAAGCCAACTGCCAATGCACTCGATCTTCTCAATGTTGGCGCAAGTGAGCCTCGACCGATCCCATGAACAGGTTCTTCTTGCACCTGAGAATGTTCTCTCTGGCTCGGACGACTCTGCAGCGATAGAAAGAATAGAGATAGCCATGTTGCTTAGCCTAGGGTAGCGCTGCCGTTGCTCCGATCGGCACCACCATTCAAGAGGGCTACAGTCGATTTGTATTACTGGACTTTCTGCGAAAATTTTAAGATCGTCGCTGTTTGATTGATCTGCCGCCGCAACTGACATCTGTTGTAGAATCTGATCGAGAACGGCACCGCGTTGCTTTAAAGGAGGAGCCATTTGTTGAGAAGCTGTAGGGCTAGCTAAAGGCAAAGCGTCCTTAAACTCATTCACCCAAAAGTTTTGAGCAGCGTTAATAGCTGGTTCGTACCATTCGGCTGGCCAGTTCTTCTTGAGATATGCTGCTCTACTTGCGGGATTTAGAAGAATAGCGGAAGCGTACACCGGAACCTGATCAGTCATGTTGTAGTACTTCTCAAGTACGAACCAGCCCATCTCGATCGATCGAACCATGCGAAGGTCCTCATTTTCATCTTTAGAGTAATGTATCTATAAAGCTGTTAACCGAAGACTTAAAGTTCGGATAACACGTTAATGCTTACCTTTTGCTGCTCATAGTGGACTAAAAGAGAGTCCATAATCAAAAGAGATTGAGAGATAGACGATTTATCTCCCTCCGCGTATAGCGTTGCTGATGCAAATGGTTGTAAAAATGTATGTGCTTTTTGTAGTATATCCCAGTCGTCAGAAGTAAGACGGATCTCGTTAAGGTGTTTCTCGTTATCGTGCATAAAGACCTTAATTGCAGCCATCTTCTTAATAGCCCGATCCATAACTGAGTACCATGAAGACCACCGAGTCTGATTGTCAATCCCTAAGCGGAGGCCTACCTTGCGATCCCACTCTGCTGCATGTATACTTGAGTTGCGCAGCCAGACACATAGTTGATGTAATTTGCGTAGTGTAGAGATGTTCTCAATACCACAAAAGTCCTCATCAACAGACCCATGGCTATCAACGCTGCGTCTTCGGCGAGACAACCTTTGTCTCTGTGAGGTTTGTGGAACAGCTTGGGCTTGGGCTCTAGGGTTTCTCTGTCGAGAAGTAAGAACGCTTGAAAACTCTGCGAGAAGCTCTTCCCCCATAACATCCGTTACGGCGTCGAGAGCAGCGGTAAGAGCCTCCTTAGAGGATGCAAGCAGGAATGCCTGCAAGGATAAATTGATAATATGACCGATACATCGGATACGGCGCTCTTTAGCAGTAAATTTAACCTTGTTAATATTAGCACCATCGCGTAACTTAAGCAGCGAAGGCCGATTTTTATATTAAAAGCCATGCTTACGTTGTGCTTAGTTCGAAGGAGGGTTTCAAGATGCTCCAAACAGGTATCGTTAGATGTTGCGTTATCACCCGTATGCCAGCCAACTCTAGACTGTATCCCATATTCCTCGAGGGTTTGAAGAAGTAAGTGCGCTTGCTGTTCTCCAGAGTGGCTGTAACGACATTCTGGCAGTCCTAAAAGAGCCTTCTGAAGCTTATATTCGTGATCGACCCACTGTGCGCATACAGCAAGGAGAGATGAACGGAACGGTGATGTCCAGAGATCGGTTGATATGTGGATAGGACTCACAGCCGTCGATAAGCTGCCTTTAATTACATGGCCTTTATAAAGCTGATAATTCGAGGCGATAAGACGTACGGCTGTACGTCGACTTGTGATAAGCTGGTCTTCAATAAATGGATTGCAAGCAAGCGCTAGATCCCTCATTTCAGACCATTCGATTGATGAAAAGGCTATTCGACGTCGAGTCAGAAGACCGACAAGCGCATCGCGATACCCTTGTTCATTGAAGGCGTTGCGGATAATTGTCTGATCAGAGACAGTCCTAAACACTGAAGTGATAGCTGGTTGCGACGACGAAGAAGAAGTTTGCGAGGGCTGAGAAGACTCTGACGTTGTATGATATGCTAGAACATGGTGGATAGAGTTTACTCGGTGACTGCTAAACCATGAGCGACAGCGTTTGCACACATACTGCTTTTTCAAACGCTGGCGCTTTGCATTGCTGGTGTTACAGACAGTTTCGGTTCGTATAACAGCGTCAAAGTGTGGCGGCGTTGCGGGTCTTCGCGACGGTGGCGTTGATATCGCACTTGCTGACAAGGTATTCGATGACATAACGATAATAGATGCTATAGATAATGGATTTGTTGAGATTTCAGGTTAGTGGGGAGTGGTTGCAGAGTTTTTGAGATGCAAAGGTGGGGTGCTTGGCGCCAAGCCTCTTATAGCGTTTTTAAATCGTTCACGCGTTTAAGGATTTTCTTAAACGCGTGAACAGTTTAAGCTGTTAAAGCGTTTTAAAACGTTTTAAGCTAAAACGTTTTACGCAAACGCGTTAAGCTGCCCATGTATGGGTGAATGCAAAAGTGCTACCCGAAACCTTTATGTTACCAGCAACCGGTGTACCAGTTGGGGATACAATGCCTTCTCCACCGGTTCCTGTTTGCGCTGCCAACGAGAAAAGGGTAGTGACGTCGCCGTTACTATCGGTAGTGACAGCAGGCACAAAAGTTGGAGGACTCACACCCCCACCTCCGTTAGTAAAGATTGATGTCTTAGTACCCCAGATAAGTGTAGTTGTGGCGCCATTGATAATCGTTGTTGTGGTCACCTCAACAGAGGTAATCGGCTGCGAAATGATTGTGCGAGTTAAAAGAGCCGTACATTCCCAAATCGTCGCCCATACTGCCCGCCAATAGCTATAGAAGACGCAGAGACCACATACCACCGCCAATGTCT